CCAGCTCTGCACCTTGTTGTCTCAGATTCTCCAGCTCCATATATCTCTGGCACGGGAGAGTCATTTAAGGAGAAAAGGTCGGATAAGCTAGGCTTTGTATGCACTGACGTTTAGAACAAGAGGTGACTTGATTGGAACATAGAAAATCCTGAGGAGTCTTGACAGGGTAGATGTGGAATGGATGATTCCTCTTATGGGAGAATCTAGAACTAGGGGGTCACTGTTGGGGGAATAAAAACAGGAGTGACCCATTTAAAACAGAAATTGGGCGCCTTCAGTATCTTTCAGAGAGCCCGGAGTCTTTGAAAAATCTCATCCTGAAAAGCAGAATCTTTGAATATTTTTCAGGCTGAGGTTGTTTAATTCTTGTTAAGAAAGGGGTTGAAAGGTTTCGGGGTAGACGTGAATGTGAATTTAGGGTTAAAGCAGATCAATTATGATCTTATTGGCTCGAGGGGCTCTGTGGGCTATTGCTGATTGTATGACAACACTGTAGACACTCTTGGAGACGTCGCAATGGTGAAGCTTTGCTCCATAATTACACACCAAGCCGCGGTTAAATATATCACAGCACAAACAGCGGAGTTCCGAGTTATCCTGAGAATAGTATTCGGACCAATTTTCTGGAGCACAGAGGCACTTTCTCTCCTGTGGTGACAATACTCAGTAAGTGGTTCCCACCCCAAGCGGCCTGACCATACAGGGAGCCCAGTGAAATCAGGGGCCCGATCGGCACCAGCTTCACCCTGACCCCGCCGGGCCAGGTCCGGTCATCACCTCTGCAGAGAGCGGCAGCGCTCCAGCTCCAACAAAACCACTGGGCCCGAACCTACGGCTCTGGTGCCGCTCCAACAAAGCCCCGGACGTCGGGCTCTCCTCCCGCTCGGACGTTCCCGAACCTTCTCTTTCCGTTTTCTTCAAAAATCCAAAATCAAATCTCCCTCCTCGCAGAACGAACCAATAGGACGTGACTCGTAGTCACACGGACCAATCATGCGTTGACAACAACCCAACCACCAATCGGAAGACGGCTTGTTGTGAGGTCTTCGGTGCAAGGGGGGGAACCCCACTGGACAGCCATCTTGGTAAGGTCAAGCCGCCCCGCCCGCCTCCTGTGTGAACAGAGTGCTCCCAGCCTGGAAACACTGATACTGTATCTCCAGCATTATTTGTTTGCTCTTCCCGCTCCCTTCCTTAGAAATCAATTGCGGGACAACAGAGAATTAGTGCTAGACCAGAGAGCGGGCAGAGCCTAAATGGGCCAGTTAAACATCCAGTGCAGGACAATTCTAGCGTTCTTTGATTTGTAATAGTGTTTAATAATCACTTGATGATAATAAGTCAAAAAAAAATGAAAAAAGATGTACTGATGCTTTGTGAATTCTTAGCACATTCTAAGTGCATTCGCCACAGCTAATCAGAATTGTTACAGCTCAAGGGGCCAGTCAGCCCATCATGTCTGCACAAACTCTGTAAATGAGCATTAGTACCTTGTGTCGCTTCAGATCTTTACACATTAATAATCCAATCTTTTCGAGTGCTTCAATTGAACCTGCTTCTACAATACTTCCCGATAATGTTACTCATACTCTTACTAATTACCTCATATCACCCTTTATTTTGCAAATTAGTTTAAATGTATGCTAATTATTGTTTCTTTTTGTGCAAATTGTTTCTCCCCTATCCACCCTGACTCATGATTTTGAAAACCTCCATCAGTTCTCCTCCTCATCTCCAAGGACGAGTCCCAATTTCTTCAATCTATCTTCAAATGAAATTTCTTATCCCTAGAACCATTCATAAAAGTTGCTTCTGCACTGTCTCCAATGCATTCACATCCTTCCTAAAATATGGTCTAACAATCATCTTTACAAGATCAGCATTGCCCCCTTGCTCATGTACTGTTCCCCTATTAATAAGGCTGAGGATACTGTATGCTGTACTTACTGTCCTTCACCTGTCCCACCACCTTCAATCATGTATTCACCAACAGGCGGGTCTCTTTGCTCCTACACCCCCTTTAGTATTGTGTCCCCTATTTTGTATTTTCTTCCAACGTTCTTCCTATCAGACTGCATTATCTCACACTTCTCTGCATTGAAACTCATCTGCCACTTTATCCACCAAACTGTCTATGTCCTTTCAAGTTCTATACTGTCCTCCTCACAGTATACAGTCTTCCATGTTTCATGTTGTCTGCAAACTTTGAAATTGTTCTCTGCATACCAAGATCTAGATAATTACTTGTGAAATTGTGCTTGTGCTCACTTGTGCTGTAACACAGCCAGACTCAACATGAGAGGGTTCTACAAACATAAATGAAAAAATTGTTTGGATTGCCATTAATTAAAATGAATATTTCCATATTTACACTTTGAATACCTTCAATCCCTATAGAGTATCTTTAGTAGATACTCTCATGCCTTTTTCCTTCAAAGGTCTCAACACATTAACTTACTTCCAAACAGCACAGTAACCTGTCTTTTGCTTTTTTCTCAACAAATCATCAAAGAGCTTTAACAATTTGTACCTGAATTTAAAGACATTTGTTACTAAAGACACAGTGATTTGATTCTGTTGCTCCTTTAATTGGAATTGATGCACCAACAACATCCAAATCTGTGCCAAATCATGCCTTTTGTGACTTCTTATTCAAACCATTAGCAAGCCACCATGAAAGATTACTTTATAATTTGCTACCATCCAGGATATATGATTGTCCTACTAAAGGTAAAGTTGCCATAGTCCCAGAGGACCATAGGAGTACTTCTCTCATTAGAGAGATAACTAATGGTGGTTTAACCTGAGGGTTACATGCCTCAGGTGAAGAAAGAGGTTAAGAAGGAGATTCTTTCATGGGAACCTCAGCAGGTGTGGGAATTGAACCTACGCTACTGGCATCATTCTGCACCTAAACCAACCATCCAGCCAACTGAACTAATTGACCCGAGGAATCCCAGCAGTTCAAGTGGTGCAGGTTCATAACACCTGAAACTCAACACAAACTTCTATATAGATCCAAATTTGCTGACAATTTGGAATTTGTAAACCCTATCATTTCAAGGTGGAGAAATAATTTTGAGTTTTACTGTTTTATACTCCTTCCACCCACCTGTCTCTGATAAAACTGATGATTTATGATAGACCATCTATGCCACACATTAGCGATGCTGTAACCTCTGCTTTAGAATGCAAGTGAGGTTAGTATTGCTGTTTCAATTGGGGATTTCCAAAGCATCATAAGTTAACAGGCAGTCATTAGTACCGTAAATTCAGACGCTTAATATATTGACCTGTAATGCTACAAATCTTCAGGGTTCTATGTTGGCTTGAAGTAATCCTTTAGGACTTTAACTTGGCTATTCTTTTAAATTGTGCAGTTTGAAGTTATGTTTGCTGAACATCACAAGTAATAGTCAAAACAGGCTGCAAACTGTCACAGCAATTACCTGGACGAGAGTTTGTCAAGTTCAAAACAAACTTTTTTTTAATTACACTGTGCAATTTAATATTTTTGTCAACTTTTAAAAAAAACAGAAGGTTTGAACTCAGCAGCTTTAGCTTAGTATGACACTGTACATTTAAACAAAAACTATTGTCTTTGAATTCGACTCAGGTTTGCAATTGCAATTACATTGATCTATTGACCACATCTGTAGGCAACATCTAGATTTAAAAAAATGTTATTTTACTGAAAGTATGCTAGGAATTATTCTAATATGTTCTTAATTACCTTGATACCATGGAAGTAGATTAGCAAGTTTTGTGTAAAATGTTTACAATTTATATTATTGATAAAGGGATGTTACATTGTTTGTAAAGTTGCTCTCTATCTTAAAGGATGTGTTATTTGTTCACTATAGAATATAATTCCTGAGCCAAAAAAAAATGTGATGGACATTTGTCTCTAGGCTGAGATGATATTACTTGAGCCTCATCCATAAACAATAAAAGAGGTCACTTCATATTAAATAATGAGACAGTCATAATTAAAGACAGAAGTTAATATCTTAAGAATCTTCACTGGCACATTTTCACCATTGCTGATGTGGTGTACTTCTTCTGTCACACAATTCAATGTAATGTCATTTTAAAGAAGACAGAAATGGTCTGCATTGGCAGCATTCAAGGAATCCTGAGGCCTTTTCTGATGATAATGTCACGCAAAGGCTTCACCCATATCTGACATTTTACTTAATAAACTCTTACTTCTTTCATAAATACTAGTTGTTCATTCCTTGCTGGGTCAGGCACAACTGAGGATCCCGTCATTATAAATTATCAATTTGTAATCTAGATATTTGAAATAAAAAAAGGGTTTCTATCTGAAAACCCTGGAAACGTGGAGTGTTCCTGTCCTTGGTCTTTGTCATCTGCTTCTGTGTGACAGCAATCCAGGGTAATTCAACCTTATTTCTTCAGTCTTTTAGAATGAACTCTTTTGCACGGTCCTATATCTCAAAAGGCAGAGCTGACGTAAGACCATACAGTGAAACATAACTGTAGACTGAGCATCATTGCAATTATGCAGTATGTGTATTTTAGCCTCAACCTGTTGGCTAATCCTTTGTTCTATTCATTGCTCCATAAAGATAAATATATGTTGTTATATGATCAGTCCCATGGTTTCACTGCTGTACAGAGTACACTTATATTTCCGATTTATCATTGTGCTATACAAAAAAAACAATTAAATATAAATTGATAACAGCTTAATTTATAATTATAGGAATACTACACAAGAGAACTTGCATGAAGCACTAATAGCAGAATAATGCAACATTAATGTGCAGGTTACATGATACACTTTCATAGTTTTATTACAGTTACACAATTAAACATTTTGTAACATATAAAGCAAATATAAAAGTGAATTTTTGATCACTTCATTCAATAGCTCTCAGAAAACATTCACCTTGGTCTTAACTCCTTTCTCCCTTAACCTCAAAAAGTGATCAGTTTTGCAGCAATTAAGTGTTCAAAGGGACGCACTGTTAGAAGGGTCACGGCCTCTTACTCAGTGACACAGCCATTGTGACCACATTTGTAGGTTGTAGTCATGGACTTTTCTTCATTCACTTTAGGATCTAACTTTCAACTACATGATGTAATTATGACAAACTGTAAATTCAGCGTGAAAGCAAGATGATGTAAATAAGAAAAGTAAAATTGCCATAGGGCTGCTCTTTCATTAGAGGGAGAAGACTGGTGGTAGTTTAATCCGAGGGTCACCATGCCCTAGGCAAGGGGAGGGTTGAAGGAGAGTCCTTTCATGGTAACCTCAGCCAGTGTCAGAATTGAACCTATGCTGTTGTGATCACACTGCATCACAAACCAGCCATCCAACCAACTGAGCTAACCGACCCAAATGTATGTAATAATCAACACGCATACCATCTAGTCATTCTCACTCCAAGGATGATAATTAACAACACAAGAAGGTTGTTTGAAGACTGCTTTTGGTGAATTAAAACTTGGGAATTTTAGTTAGCCTCAGAAGCAGGTGGTACAGCTTAATGAACAAGTGAACCGTACAACCTTTCCAAATCTGCTACAAGTGTTTATACAAGTGTTTATTTGCATATTTTTTTAAAATGAAGGATCTTCGACAAAGATTATGCTTCACCTCTAACAGATGGGTTATAAAGAAACCTCTTTGTATAAATTTTCACATATTCAACAGTAAAATGATGCTTTATATTAAGTCTTCTGAACATGACCAAGATGCAATGCAAAACAGCAACAGAAATAGCAGCCAGGGGACGAATCAATGCAATTTGCCACCAGGATAGGACATGAAACCTCCAACCTAATCCGCATTAATGATCCTATTTTCAGATTTTTACATGTGTAAAATTAATGAAATCATGCAATTTGTTTCACACTTTCAGAACACCAGACATCACATTACATATGAACACATCTTTATACAATTCCTGTAAACATTGTTACAACAGTCATGATAATGAATGTCATGGCTCATTCAAGTTTTGTACAAAAGGTTGCCAATCGAGAAGCCTGGTGAGAACCAAGTGGCATTTTTTTGACATCAGATCCCATTAAACTAAACCACTTGCACAGTATTAATCAACTAACATTCTGGCTGACATTGTTGAAAGTGCTTCAGTTAAAATCCTGGAATCTGTTTGCATCTTCAGATAATCACCTGACAATAAGCAGAGAACTAGAGAAACTCAAAGCTACCAGGCCTTGAGACTGATACCTCTGTGACAATTGAATGCACCTTGGAATGTCAGTCTTATTCATTCTAATTTTAGAATTTTTTTTTGCCAGTTCTAGAAGTTGAGAAAAAAGAGAATATAAGAATATATATGACCAAGTGAAATAATCTTGCTAAATAATTACTTTGTAGCACAGAAATTAACAAGTGCTAAAGAAGGTTTATTTTTAAAACATTTCATGACTTAATTGTGTAAGTCCTCTTACAAGTGAAGGATGATAATTTCTCCATGTCATTTTAGTTTTCTTAAAAAAGTAGCTACTTTGCACCTTTATTGTGTTCGAACCAGCAAACAAGAAGGTGGAACACTTAGTTTACTTATCCAGCCATTATCACCAGCCAAAGACCTGACTCAAACGCTAACTTTAAATTGTTGAACTTAATATCTTTAATGGTCCTACTTAAAATAATTTTATTTAAATATTTATAATAAATACTACAAGTCTGAATCACAAGAGAGCGAAGTTTCTAAAACAATTTGAGAATTAATGTTTAAGATTAATTGTCACATATCTGAGCCCAGCTCTGCACACTGCTTGTCTGAAATATGATTGGCTAATGACTCGATGATGTCTAGAAGTAGTGCTTGACTTAGGGATCGTAGGTTGGGCAACTTGGAGACCTTAAGGGAAGAAAAAAATCGATTTAAGAAATTGGAAAACAAGCGGGGCACGTAGCAAAAATTAAAACTGAAATACTCTTTAGCAACACCAGGAAATACCCACTCTTCAATTACTAATACAAGAGATACAGATGGGACAATGATCTACAATAGATTATATCTCACATATGCATCAATGTGACATACCAGAGTAAAACAGAAAGTAGTTGTTCAGTACCAGAGAAGATTTCAGGACCTCTGCCAAATTTTTCACATAATCCTCCAACAACTAAACAAATTCTTGTCTGGCATAAAACAGGTCAATGTATCCGAAAATTTATAAAGGGGTGGGGAAGCAGTCATATATGTTCCCATCAAAGTTGACTCCTCATTAGGCCTCATGACAAATAAAAAGGTGGACGCAAGATAAACAAAGGCTATTGTGATTTTATGAAGCATAAAATGATACAATTTAGAATTCTAACATACACCACCATAGGGGAACTAATAACCTCAGTGAAGAAATCTATCTTTTGTCTCATTCATTCTCAAAGTACAGTAATAACTAAGGGTACTTTCCCAAAATCTGTCCAACAAAGGATCAAAGACTTGGATTGCACTGTCATACAATTGCAAGAAACGTAGTATTTGGTGACTAATTAGATTACTGCATCCACAGAAGTCTGTTTAAGCAATACAATTGCAAGTCTGTCTTGCTTTCACTGCAGATTTTGACGCATGATTACCTTTTCCTTTCCACTAGTCTTAATAATTACTGATATATTTCACCAATCAATCATTTTACAAGTCATTGAGCAAATTTGCTGAGTTCTTATTGGAGATTCTTGCTTCTACCTGACAGTATGGAAGGAATTAGTAAACAGGATCCTCAAAATGGATGGGGAAATTATTTGTAGGGTTTGTCAAAGCTCAATGGTTGGCGATTGATCTGGCTGAAACAATTTTTCCCAATCCTTCCAAAAGCAATAGCGGTCAGAGCAGAATGTTATGATCACTCTTCGTCATTCAGGTTGATGTTCTGCATTTTCCTTGGAACCTTTATTAGAAAACTATTTTTTACAAAATCAAAGGTGACTATCTGGTATCAGTTACAATGCCAACAAGAAAATCCTTCCTTACAATTCAATGCAGATGAGTTTTTTTCAGCATACTTTTCACTCACCAATACCTATAGAAAGCAATATCAATGTAAATGAAGAAACCAAGACAGAGGCTATATTATGGGTATTCTATGGAGGGAAGCGGTCATACATTAAGATGTAGTTTACTTTTAGGTAAAGAATTCCTGCAGTTGTTTAATGATTGTTTACTATGGACCATTGGTTGTAAAAAATGAAGGAATTGAAATCATGACCTTGTGCAGCAAATATGAACAAGCAATAATCAACTACAGAATTAGGATAAAACAAAAACAGAAATTGCTGGAAAAGCTCAGCAGGTCTGGCAGCATCTGTGGAGAGAAGGTTCTGAGGAAGGGTCATTTGACCCAAAATGTTGACTCTGACTTTTCTTCATAGATGCTGCCAGACCTGCTGAGCTTTTCCTGCAATTTCTGTTTATGTTTCTGATTTACAGCATCCGCTCTTCCCTAGGTATTTATTTAGGATTAGGATAAAACTTCCTTAACATTCAAACCTGAGTAAAATTCTTGCCTGGTCACATTTCCAGAAGATGTCTTAATGATTTCTCCTAACTAATTTATTCTTGAACAGACTTTTGCATTATTAATTCATATGAAACAATGAGAAAATGGGGGCAGTTCACTAGTTTAGCATCATGACAACTGTATAAATAACGATATTATTTAGAAGAAAATCTTACACAGAGTTGAACGACAGGCTAGTGTGAATCCCTCAAATTGTTTATTGTTAGGACAGCTTTAAATCAAGGAATATGAAAGACTATGGAATAAGGTCTTAGAGAATCCAATAGCTTGTTGGTATAGCTAAATGGTGTGTAGTCATCTGCACTACAGAATGGTAGTACATGAACTCCTACTTGGTGCATATTCACTACAGGAATACAAATCAATTCTAAAGCTGCCTTTGCAGAGTAGTCACACAATTGTAAAGTTTCTTAAGGATTCAATACAGTATTTTGTTGGTGTCATTTTTGTTTCAAATTTATTACATACAGAATTTGTTTAACAAGCATAATGTTTATTTACAACACAACAAAATGAACTACTGAACAGCATCAGAAATCAGTGCCAGGATGTTCATGTAAATATTTGTGGCCAACAACTCAAATTTTTATTGCACTTTTAAAGTAATAAAACATCCCAAGGTGCTTTACAGAAGTGTTATTAAATGGAACTTGATACTGCATAACATGAGATATTAGCACAGATGACGAAAGCTTGTTCAAAGGAGTAGGTTTTATGAAATGTCTTAATATGATTTCAGCGTTAGACAGGTGGATGGGGGAGTTCTAGAACTACGAATCTAGGTGACTGAGGTAATGGGGCAGTATTAAAATAGGGAATGTGCAAGAGGCCAGAATTGAAAAAGTGCAGAGATCTCAAGGGTTGCAGAGTTGACCGAAGTTAGAAATAAGTTTTGAAAACCGGATGAGAATTTTAAAAGTGAGATGTCAGGATTGTTTACTCTCAGATTGCTAGACGGTAGGATGGAGTCAGTGGTTTGGAAACAGGTTTTGGCCTTCAACCATTTAATCAGAAATGCTTGTACATCCAGAATCAGACAAGTAGTATGATAAATCAGAAGCTATGGAGGGGGCCAAGTGAGCTGGTACCAAGGTAGAGCTGTGATTTCTCAGCATAAATGTAGAATCTGATGGGACCAATGGGCAATACATAGACAAGAAAGGTGGTGGTCAAGGGTAGATACTATGGGGATTTAAGAGGTAATGTCGTAGGAGCAGGTAGAGAAGCCTTTGTAGATGATTTTTCAGTTATAACAATAAAGATAAAAATGACAAAGGAGGAGATGCTACGATCAACCATATCAAAGGCTACATACAGATCACAAAGACAGAAAAGTCACAGAAGATGCAATTTGTGACATTAATGAGGGCCATTTCAACATTGCAAAGTGATGGATATTTGACCAGAAGAATTTAAACATGGGTTGAATTTGAGCCTTGCTGGTATTGGGAACAGGCCAGGGTGTCAGACGTGCCTGGTGAGGATGCAGCCAAAGGCCACCTCTATAGTGGAAACTATGTCTATCCACTGAGTACTACATTACAGTGGCCTGGCAACATTTTGCCTTTTTTTTTAAAAAAGAATACTTTAAAAAAATGTTTGATTGGGTACCTTCTCATTGGAGTGCCCTCCCAGTTACTACTTTTATATGCAGCCAGGAACTCTTCTGATTGGCCGTCCAGCTTCGAGATTGCACCCATCGCCCACAACTGGGCAAGGAACTTGCCTCCGTGTTAATTAAAGGATGTCACAATTGCAGGTGATTGATGGCTTCTCCCAACAACCCTGTCTCAGAGTGGGTTGAGGACACAAGAACAGACCTGGCTCATGATAAATGATGGAAATTCAGCCCATGATGTTCAGAAATGATGGGCACGCATTTCAAACACATTCAAGGGCTTTGGAGAAGAAAGGGAGGTTGATGATAGGGATGTAGTTTGCAAAGCTAGAGGGATGCAGTATGGGTTTGAGACGAGTAACAGTCTGGATATTGTACATTCTCCATTGTTCACGGACGTTATCCTTTCTTTAGAAGAGTGAAACAGAACACTTTTAACACCTTCTCACTATCCAGTTATCTAACCTCAAATTTTCTGCAATGTGCTCAATATTCTCTTAGGTTTCTTGAATAACCTTTTGTTATTATTCCCAATTCATAAGACACTTAATCTGAGCAGAAGCATTCGACAGCAAAGACACTGATTTACCTCAGAGTTAAAGAATGAAAAACAGGGCAATTTAATTACATGACGTTCTTTTCCTCATTTCATTAAAACCATATGGTGCTTTGATGGAGCAGGCTGTACACCCTGCAGTTGAAATGCTTCTGCTGGAGAATTGCACAGCAAGTCACAGAGATTTACAAATAACACGTTGAAAATATGTTTCACTTTGAAATAGGAAGTCAATACCTGCACCAATATCAGGTTATACATCAGTTTTAGAACAGTGATGCTAATGAGATCAAAGATACATCTTTCCCTGTGGCAAAATACAACGCTGCAAAATCAAATACTTTGGCTCAAACATTCAAAGGTTTTCACCAGTCACGTATACACCTTCAGAATGTTTCAGCAACTTTTAAAAAAGTACATATTTAAGCCTTCGAAAATTCACAGATAGTATGTTTATGAAAACGTACTTGTGTCTTGAAGTGTTTAGTTTAATGAATATTTTGTTTCACATTAACATACAAGTGTCACAATACCATTCGATACTGATGAGGAGAAATATTATACATTTTAATCACATTGATCCAATGAGATCCTGATCTGAACAGAGATAAGACCAATGGATACTTAGGTATTGCTAAAAGTAAGATATGCCTCGTCAAATCTTTTCATCTTGAACCCATCAGCATATTTCACCGGATCACAAATTCAAGGGGAGAAAAATTATCATTTATACTATTATAAAGGGAGAATGCAGAGAGTACATTCTGATTGATAGCACTGTTGCCATGAGAATGCACCCATTAATGCCAAATGACGGTTTAAAAAGTTGACAGCAAATCATTGGTTCATTTCTCAGGGCATTGCCCCAACCTATCAGCCAAATTTAAAATTGTAATCCAGCCCGACTGTTAACTACCAATCAGCGTTAATGAGTTCATTTTCCATGGCAATGCCTCTCTACATGAGAATCCACTTGCCAACCAGTCAGCACTACCCTCCCATGCAGTAGTAATTTTGGTTATCCCCTTGCAATGTATCCTGATGTGCTTCAACAAAACATGTCTTTTTCAGCAATACTCAAGTTCTGTACCATCAAATGACTAAACAGAATACTAGTTAAATTTGTAAAACTATGGTGCTGAATACAACTGACTTTTGCACCAAATATGTCTATCGTATTCTCAAACAAATTTCAAATTTAAAAAAAATCCATGTAAATAAACTGAATTCTAAATAAGTGCATTGCAATTTCAGCATTTCAGAATAGTGGAATAACACCTTCGCTGACTCTACCCTTACATCTGGAACAGTCATAGTGTGACAACTCTACTGCTGAATGGAATACTCATCTCTCAATTTTTGGGCCCATTTTCTCAAAGCACTGTCTTGGGTGCAAATCTTAATATTATTGCCATACTACATGGAGTAAACTACAGCATATTTCTCTTTCACTATTAAGAATCTTTGATGTCTCCTCTCTCTATGGAGAATTGGAAGCGCAAGTGGGGAGGAGCTGTAATGTAATATCACTGTGCAACAGAACTCAAGCTCCTGCAAACTGTCAACTCTTAATTTCAGCTTGAGCTGTTTGGGAGTTAGATCAGAGACAAATAAGAAAAGTCAACAAGAATGGATACTGCTGGCAAATGTACAATTACAGAGCAATTGCTGGAGTAGAAGTAGTATCCAGTAGACCCGAGCTGGGCACAAAACACTGGGGAATTTTCCACATGAAGGAAAACATGGAGAAAAATGTGGTTTCTTGCTATTGCATTTAGACCTATTTTGGAGTGGAAAAGATCGCAACAAAGGGCACTCCATGTGAAATGGTTTAAAGGCACATCTATTAGAGGGGATAAAAGTCAAGACTGCTGGTAGGGGCAAACACAAATGAGTTTTGTTTGGTGCCAAAGGTGTTGTGAAAGCTGCTGACAAAAATGACTGATTCAAGACCCCAAATAGTGTCAGATTAACATAACCAGACATGTTTGTTGCTTGATACATAGAAAAGTTATAGATGTTTGTGGTTTTTGTCCAATATATAATGATATTTGCTAATATTAAATGCCTTCACTTCGTCTGTCTGAGCCATACTCAAAAGCTACACAAAAACATGGAAGCAACTTGATTTTGGCCAGATTGGTTTGAAGCAGCCGCTTGAATGCATTTTGCACAACCCAAGTGCCAATTCCTCCTCTAAAATTATCCTTCCCTCATGCAAGGGCAGCTGAGTTGGGAAGGATTTATTTCCAAGAGCTTTGAAGTTGATTCAAAAGAGGCACCAAAACCACAGAGGATGACAAATATGTGAAAAAGTATTCAGCCACAGAATTCTGGGTAGCTGCATTCAGGGTGGATTGCTGGGTCTGAGTGGGATGTTCTTCGAGGGGTTGGTGCGGACTCAATGAGCCAAATAGCCTCTTTCCGCACAGTCGGGATTCTATGATTCTAATGTCTGGAACTTGAAGGTGCTTGTGTTGATAGATTGAGATCGGGCTAGAACCATATTAGAGACATATTGAGCTGAATGAGGGTGTGGATTTTATTGTGGCACATGAAGAGAGAGCGTGAGCGTGTGTGTGAGAGAGAGAGAGAGAGTGACAGTGAGTGAGAGAGAGTGTGAGCGAGTGGGCGTAACAGGATGGGGGTGGAGAAGAGGAAAAGACATGCGGGCAACATGAAGTGGCATGGTGGCTCAGTAGTTAGCACTGCTGCCTCACAGCGCCAGGGATCTGGGTTCAATTCCAGCCTCAGGTGACTGTCTGTGTGGAATTTGCATATTCTCCCCGTGTCTGTGTGCTTTTCCTTGGGTGCTCTGGTTTCCTCACACAGTCCAAAGATGTGCAGGTTAGTTGGATTGGCCATGCTAGATTTCCCATTGTATCCAGGGACGTGCAGGCTAGGTGGGTTAGCCATGGTTATTGTAGGGTTATGGGCATAGGGTGGGATGCCGGGTCTTCGGAGGGTTGGTGCAGACTCAAATGGGCCAAATAGCCTCTTTCCACGTGGTCGGGATTCTATGATTCTAACATCTAGAACTTGAAGGTGCTTGTGTCGATAGTTTGAGATCAGGCACAGTTGGACTCAAACCAAGCAGCTACAGATATTTAAGGAAATGAGTGCCAGATGCACATCTGTGAAAGCTAAATCCTTCATGTTTTGCTAATGTTGAGATAGGAAGTTTCAACAATTGATACTAGGCTGGCAGTCAGACAAGCACAGCAGGAAGGAGGAGGACAGGAGTTGGGGGACAAACTCAAAGCCATATTATGAACACAGGATAAAGTACACAACAATTAAAGCAGTGACACGCTTTTTGTCAGATTATTTTCAACTCATTGTGACATTCTATTCCAGATTCGTCCAAGCAGGCAGATCGCAGTCTCTCCAGAATTGAAAGGATAGGCTTTTTGCTGCTACAACCACGATGGTATAAAAGGACAACAGACTCTCACTGAGCCAAACAGAGTCCTACCTACCTTGGTGAAATGATGTACAATGATGTGGAGGCAGTGTTTCTTCATGTCTAAAGCCTGAGTCTTATCAGCTGCTTCCAGAATCTGAAGAGACAAGAAAACATTTTAGAATAATTATGGGATTATTTGTGGTTTTGTAAACTGAACCACTCATTTTTATACAGTTCCTGAATGTCGGAAAACATCCAGAGTGCAACGAAAAAGCAGAGAGGATAAAGGAAGAGTTACAAGGAGCAAGGACCAAAAGGCTGTGTAGAGACGTGGGATGTAAGCAACGTCTTAAAAAAGTGCAGGGAAAAATTTCCAAAGCAGAGAATCTATGCAGCTGAAGGCAGAGACCAATGTAACAAAGTTAGAAGGAAATGGACAAGAGGCTGAATCAAAACTGATGGTGGTGGCTATTGTGGGATCAATTGAAGTAATATGAATAGGGAACATCGAGGCCATGAAAGAATTTAAGGCCAGAATTAAAAACTTGACCCAACAGAGAACTGGCAGCCAACATACATCAGCAAATGGGGATACGCGGAGCAAGACAAGATTTGGGCACCAATGATCTGGATAAACATGTACTTCACAGATAATGGGAAGCTGACATTTTAGCATTGGGACAGTTATCAAAGATCAAAACTCTGGACAGACTTAGTTCAGAATGGGGTTGAAGTGGAAGTAGGCAGAGTTTGAGAGAAAAGAAATGCAATTGGAAGTGAAGGTTAGTAGTTGAATTTCATGAAATCAGTAAGAAGCAAATTGGGAATTATTGGAAAGGGCTGAAACCGATCACTGCAATCTGATGCTTGATAAGCAGTCTGAGAAGAGAGACACTGAAAGGTTCATGAAAAACGATGGAATTAGAAGTAGATGGCATGAGTGCATACGTGAACAATCATATCAAGGAGAAGAAATAAGTAAAGGGGCTTAGGGATAGATCCTTGCAGGATTCCAAAGTGAGAGTGAGAGACAGGAGGAGAGACTCTGGCTACAACTGCAGAAAAAGAGGTAAGAGTGGAACCAAGCAAAAGCTGATCTGGGTGATGGAAGAAAAGCTTCAGATTGGTTGGTGTGGTTGCCCAGGACAGAGACGTCAGAGAGGTAAAGGAAAGAAAAAGTACCATGGTCACAGACATTAAAAATATTGTTCTTGACTTTGGCTTGGGCCATTTCAGTGGTGTTATGTATATGGAAACCTAAGTGAAGAGATTAGAAGAAGAAATTTCAGGAGTAATGGGCAAAGGATTACATGGTAACACATGCCAGGACTTTTGAAGAAAGGAAGGTTGGAGAATGGGCAGAAGTTTACATCAACAGAAGGCTTGAGAGTGAATGTTTTGAAGAAAGCTGTGCTGACAGCTGTTTTGATAGGCAAGGGGACAAAAGTTTAGAAGAGGAAGCCATTTAAACCACCAGTTAGCACAGTCATCACGAAGGGAAACTGAAACAGTTAGCACTTTATTGAGAGGAGAAACAAGAAAGCATGAGTTTCAAAGACAAGACAAGCTTGACAATGGCAGGATAGATAGGAGAACTGCTAGGAGACACAAATAGCTATTTCTCTCTTAGATAAAGAGACAAAGTTCCAAATTACATGGTCAATGAGACGGTAAGAACACTTCTCATTTGCAATATTCTCAACAAAAATATCCATTTGGATTTTCATCTAAAGTTGTACAATAGTCCAACCAGGACGTGATAGAATACATAGTGAAAGTAGAAAAGGCAAGTTACCTGCAAAACATTTTCCACTGTTACATTCATCTCCAGGTTCTGCTTACAGTATGCTTGCAGTCTGTTGTTTGTGAAGCCATAATAATAAGGTGCTGAAAACAAATATCTGGTAGATATAAGTCAAAGAAACCTATCTCACAATGCACATGGGATTCATTGTTGTACAAATAAAACTTTTCAAAGTTGCATGCACCATTGAAAACAGCCATTTGTGTTACTTCAACTACACAGCAAGTCAGGCAATTGCAAGCTAAAAGGGTGCCTGTCAACATTTACCACTATTCTTTTCATCATGCTCCTGAATACACAAAGTGATTACCCAATTACAGTTATCCTCCTATGGTCATTTTTCTGCCTGACCCCAAACCCCGTGATCAGCCTCCCTCGGAGGCCTCCTTTAAAAGCTATCTGCAATTCGCCGTTAGGAGGGATAAAGGACTAATCCACTCCACCAGGTCATGGACTCCTTGTAGGATGTCTGCATACCATTTGGATTCTCTCAGAGAAGTTCAAATTGACATTTTACTACACAGGAAATTCAAAGTATTCTTTCCTTATCAGCAACTATCCCATTTTTAAAGTCCTAAACCCTTCCCATTCCTCGTGATTTGCACCAACTCTTTACTGCAGTCAGCATGGATGAACAGTTTCTCTGACTTCAGTACAGTGGCAACCAAGAGCTGAAGGGGTTCAATGCTTTCATGATGGTCAAAGGAAGCATTAGAAGGACACACTCAGGAATTTTGATATTGACTCTGAGTCCTTGCAGCAGGCCCCTCAGGATGGTGCAATGCGTGAAAACAGCTTTGAAGGTAACCGTGCATCAGAGGCTGAGCGAGAAGTCAAGACGACAAAATTCCCAGCCACAAAGCATCAACCAGGAAAGGACAAGCTTCAAGGAACAGCTGCATAATAACACTGCGTCAACAGCGTGGCAGAAGTATACACTCGAGTGCCCTCTTCATTTGATCAGAATGAAACCGCATAAGACAGGAAGGTTCACATGTCTGCAATGATTTTTTTTTTAAAAATCTGCCCCTTTTAGTTCTTATTTTTCAATCATTCATATCTCGGATTATTTCCAAGTCAACCGGAACAGGTTGGACTGATCCCTAGACCCATTCAAGGAGACTCACGTTCCAGCTTTCACAAATTTTCCTCATGTTTCTTTGGAAAAAGAACCAGCTTCCAATGGTCCTAGCCATTAAAAACATGATGTGAACAGCATGATCTACAGGTATGAACTCTCAATATAGCATGACATAGCATAAATTTGTGTCGTTTTGTTCGAAGTGCAAGCATAGTCAGGAAAAGATGGTGGTACTAAGTAAAGGAGGATACAATGAATCTTCTGGAGGCATGTTGACTTCACCATAGTACACATATCGAAGGAGTGACTCGAAAGCTTGTCGACTTGGCACCATTTCACCAATGGAGATATTAACTTGTCCATCTTCAGGCATAAAAGATCGGAACATAGCTTCAAAGTAACTACAAAACATCACGGACAGGAACCAATTATTAAAACAAGATCATATAACTGTACATTCAGTGTCAGGTCAAAAGTCTCATATATAACACAATAAATAAATCAAAACCAATCTGCTAGCATAATATGTTTTAACTTGCTGTTTAGTTATTTATAAAAACTCAAATGTTTTAATTCTGTCATTGAGAATATGAAATGGCTAATTTTGACACAACTTTATTAAATCTGAATTGTGTGTGTTGGTTATGTTTTAACAATGCGTTCCTAAATATAGAATAGAATTCTTAAAGTGTGGAAGCAGGCCATTTGGCCCATCGAGTGTGCACTGACCCTCCAAAGAGCATCCCACACAGATCCAGCCCCCTACCCTATAACCCCACATTTACCATAGTTAGGCCACCTAGCCTGCACAACCATGGACACAACATGCAATTTAGCACGGCCAATCCGCCTAGCCTGCACATTTCTGGACTGTGGGAAGAAACTGGAATACCCAGAGGAAACCCATGCAAATATGGGGAGAATGGGTAACTGCCTGTGTGGAGTTTGCACAAGGTTGGAATCAAACCTGGGTCCCTGGCACTGAGAGACAGCAGTGTCAACCACTGAGCCACATGGTACTGCAGCAGCTTTGTTTTCAATTTCAAGACCAACAGTAGAATCATTGTGCTCAAGCACAGCAATCCAAGCATCTTTGAGAATTCAGTTCAAAGGTAAAATCACTGGTACATTCACTGGAGGCAAGTAATATATAAAATTATATTTTTAAGGAGGTTGGGATTTTACGACTAATATTTTAAAGCTCACTGTTAACTGCATTTTTATTTTAGTGGATCTCCATTTGGTTCCGTTTATAAATCTGTACATGCTGGACTCTTACTCATTACTGCAGCTGCATGGCTAGGTTGGCAATACATTGTTGGGGAAAGAATGGAGATTCAGGCTGAGACCATTACTCCCCAGTAACAAACAGTATATTATTCAAAGCAGTTTGTTTTATATGAGGTTCGCAAATTAAAAAATAAACACAAAATAATGAAATGTGCAAAAATCTGCGCCAATCTACGCATACGTTTATATAATTTGTGCCACTCCAGTCCCAAATTACAGAAACAAATTGTTCAGAATCCCACATCTGCTTCAGTCACGGTCCCTCATCATTTCATACTGATGCTGCAGAAACAGTTCCATGCTTGGGATACCACAAAGACAGCCTTTCTCTGGAGTCTCCCTCCCAACTTGTCAGCAATCTAATTGAACTACTCCAGCTTCCAGAATGTTGCAGTCGCAAGCTTTAAAATTGTGACCTGCACGACACAGGAACACTGAAGAACAGGACAATGTTCTTTATTGAAGAAAGAAAGAAAAAGAAACCTGTACTGGTGACTCTTTAAAAACTGACTACCTATAACCTGAACAGAGTGACGTCAATGTAAAAAAAAATGGCCACATATGGTAAGCAGAGACTTAACTACTGCAAAAGTTCTTGGTATTTGACTTAAGCCGCTTTTTTTTGAACACAAAATATTGTTCAAATGAATTATGAGATGTAAAAAAAAAATGTTTCCTGCTCCTCACACTTCCAAATCATTTTAGTTTTTTTCCAAGTACATAAACTGCAGATTCTGTTGATTCCGCAATCCAGGTGCCCTTCGTCTTAAAGATAATCACTTCTTAAAAACCTGTTCTTATGATTTGAGCATATTTCCTAAAGTTGGACTTTCCAGTCTTTGAATATTAGTGAATGGGGGAGGGAGGAGATAGGGTAGGGAAGTAGATGTGCAAAGTAGGCAAATATGAAGTTTTTTTATTCATTAACGGGATGAGGGCGTTGCTAGGTAGGCAGCATTTATTGCCCACTCCTAACTGCCCAGAGGGCAGTTCAGATTCAACCACATTGCTGTGGGTCTGGAGTCACATGTAGGCCAGACCAGTTAAGGATGGCAGCTTCCTTCCTTAAAGGACGTTAGTGGGGTAGCGAGTGGATAGAGTGGTACTCAGGTTGGCTCACAAGGATAGTCAGGTGGTTCAAATGGTAGTTGTGTGGTTGCTAGGAGTCACAGTTGTTGGGTGGGAGGCGCAGTGTGTCTAGTTACCCAGATATTAGATCTGACTAACATTTCCTACTAACTGTCCGAGTAATTCCTGATCAAAGCCTAAAGGTTCTGACCCTAGCTCGGAGACGCTTACGGAGGGTCCCGGAAGCAGGGAAATGCCCATTGGAACTTCCTGAACAACTGCCATGTGGGTCCACACTTCCACTGAGTCCTTTGGTCATATATCAAGATGATCCCAAGATTGAAAGATTTGACTCAACGTTAGTACCTTAGTTGATCAGATTTAAGCCACATTACTTTTCTTGTAATGTAAACAATATGCAAAATAAAGTTAGAGAGGGATGGACTTTGCGCTTCACTTTTCTGCAACTTATACCTTTGAAGAATGTGTTGAATAGAAATGTACAATTACAAGAGTATACTGAAATTTTTCATTTACATAATCCCACCGAGTTGCTGAGACATTTGATAAACAAGGTAGTGAAAAAGTTCCCAATTATATATGAATGCATTTAACAAAGACTTCTTAAAATGAGATAAATAGCGAAGGAGGATTGAGCCCAGGAGTGAAGATTAAACTATCCATTTTAAGTTTCATCTTTCTTCTGGAGATACATACAGGTTAAAATATCATGCCTCAGACATAGTGAGCAACTGACAGCAGGGGCTTGATGAGCCAAATGGCCTACTCTGTTCCTAATTTCCATGTTTCTATATATTTAAGACACCATTAAGACAAATGCAATGACCTCAGCTCTGAGCACCATCTAACTTACCAAGAGAAAGTTCAGCAGTCACCTGCAAAGCAATGGGTGGAGGAGTTATTTTTCATTTGTCACTGACCTGGAACGGGCTGCTAGGATTGCTTTGTGGGCTGGTCTGGGATGACCATCCAACAGCAGGGTTATATCGCAGAATTCCATGCCTGCTCCCTCCAGATAGTTCTTCATATCCTGAACCAAAGATGTGCCTGATATGAAAGTAAAACAAGAAGTTACAAGTAACATTTGCCCTACTGGCAAATTGTAGCAAACAAAATTTTAAAAATTCCCTTCGACTGACAGTGTATATAATCAATCACGAGCACTTACGTTTCTTGATATATATTGGAAAGACACAGCAAGACTAATATACGCTGCATACTACAGCATTCAAGTCAACCCTTGAAACACTGAAAAAGTCTTCCAAATGCTGGTGTTGGTGTGTATAGGTGGTCACCATTTTGAAATGCAGAAAAAAGAATCAATTTTAATCAGTTGCACATTTTAGTTTTGACTTAGTTCTACAAGGATACCTTTAAACACAATCAAGATGTTTTAAAAATTGTTGCATATATTGCCATTGGCATCCAACACCAAAGTTTATTGACTTCATTCTGAGCTTCTTTGGCTATGGCACCATCATCAGAATCCCATTCTGGATCAGATTTGGCACACTGTTTCAGAGTTACCCTTTTCTTGAATGATCTGATAACAATTTGTGATTGATAGCATCCCAAGTTTGATGATGAAAGCACACAAAATATCAAGTGGTACAGCACGCGGATTTCCACTTTTTGCAAAGGTATTTTTCTGTCAGCCATTCACATATTCAATTCAGCATGAACATTGTTTCTGAATGGCATGCTGATGCACTTATCCAAGATTGAAATGAAGACATTAAAGCCCCTCATATAACATCAATTGGAGTGTTATGTCATTGCAGGTGCCTGGTGACCTTATTGGTTATCTGGCATCTGAGAATGCCTCATGCCAATAATCCAGATTTCTTATTCAGGCCAGTGGGCTACACATTCCATATGTTATCAACCCATAACTTCACTCCATTCGTATCCATCTAACTCTGGTCATAGGCATGCACAAAAGGTCCAGCACAGAACCTGATCTTAGGCATGCTTTATACTTGAAAATTGCTATTGACCATGCAGGCTAGTACTGTCATTAATCTCATTTTCTCATGTCCTGTGGTTTACAATAAAACTCTGGAACTATTTTCGAACATTTCAACTCCACAGTTTAGTTGCCAGGTTCATCAAAATTCATAGACACTTCATCCATATTGCTGGTTGACCTGAAGGAGAGATATATTTTTGTCGTTGTCTGATAACAAACCGGTCATTCTGGCAATAAGGTCTTTTGGTCTTCTGCTGCAAAAACTTCATTCCATAAAGGGGCTACACCAACTAGCTGTTGCTCAGAAATCTTTGTTGGGCTCATTGGTTTTGGTTGATTTAAGTGCGTACATGTTCTCATGATTCATTTGGTCTGGGAAATCTTCTTTGATGTGATTCTTTCTGATTTACACAACATGGAGTTCCCTTGCTGTAGCATGGTTATTTGATGAGTAAGTAAATGTTATGCCTTTTAGCTTGACACCACCTTCATATTTCATTTTTTTTTGCCAGAAGGTCCATTCCTTGCTAGGTGTATCGTAAATCCCCACACATCATCTTGGCAATGCAGACCATTTCACTGACTTGATTCCATATGCCCGCATATAAAGTTGAGTAAAACATGCATTTGCGGTGAAAATGGCGGTTAACTCTAAATTCAAGCACTGCATTTTTTTTTGAAGTAAAGCAGGATCAACATATATGCCAACTGTAATCCTAAACATCAAGTTTAATGCCAAAAAGTGAAATTATCTTATACTCCGTGATCTAAGATAGGAATTACAGCACAGAAGCAGGCCATTCAAACCTACAGATATATGCTGTTAATGCACTGTATCAGCCTTCTCCTACTCTTGTTAGCCTAAGCCATCAACACAAATGTCTATTCTCCCTTGTGCGTATTTGGCTCTTCCCTGAACGTATTTAATATATTCGCCTCAACTATTCCTTGTGGTAACAATTATCACAATGTAACCACTGTCTAGGTAAAGTTGCTTCTCTTAAATTTCCTGGTGATTATTGCTTATATTTATTCTGGTCTATCCCAGTCACAAATGGGCACTCCCACTCTTTGCTGACCCTATCAAACTCTTTCATTATCTTAAAGACCCCTAATTAGTGAACCCCTCAATCTTTGATTTTGTAGTGAAAAGAACCTCAGTCTATTCAAAACAAAAACAGAAATTGCTGGAAAAGCTCAACAGGTGTGGTAGCATCTGTGGAGAAACATCAGAGTTAACATTTCGGGTCCAGTGACCCTTCTTCAGAACTGATGGTAGCTAGGAAAAGGATGGCGTTTATACAGAAGATGGGGTGGGAGAAATGGGTAAAAGATAGGTGGAGGTTGAGCTCAAAGAGAGGGAAGAACAGTTGGATAGACAAAGGAGTGGTCAAAGGTAAATTTGGGGCGAAACCAAGTTCATCCAACCTAAAGAGTGTGCGAGACACAAATTGGACCTTCAGGAAGAAATATTGAGAACTACCTCCCCATTGCAAAATAAACAGTTGGTTTATACCAATAGGCCTCAGAAAGCAGTAGCCTGGGAATGTTTTAGACATCTTCACAAAAGTGGTTAACCAAAACAAAATAAGAAAAGTATAAAAAAAATGGAAAGAATTGCTGATGCTGGAAATCAGAAACAAAAGTAGAAATTGCTGGAAAATCTCAGCAGGGCTGGCAGCATCTGTGGACAGAAATCATAGTTAATGTTTTGGGTCCAGTAACCCTTCTTTAGAACTCTGAAAGAGGGTCACTGGACCCAAAACATTAACTCTGATTTCTCTCCACAGATGCTGCCAGACCTGCCGAGATCTTCCAGCAATTTCTGCTTTTGGTTAAGAAAAGTATATTTGCCTCACACAGAATAATTCCTTGTACTAGTTTAAGTAATGTTCATTTCACACTAATTACCTATATCAACAGGCTGATCGGAATTTACCCGTGTCGGAGGCTGATGCTTTCTTCTTACAATCTCCACAATTAAGCAGGGGGAAAGATACTCAAACTCTTTGGTCATTATCACTTGGTTAAAGTGCGATTCTTTGACCACAAAATTTAGGCAGTATTCCTGAAACAGAAGAAGAACTAAAATCATTCCAGTTTCTCTCAAAATTCTTTCATTTTGTGTGTATTTTGGTGAATGAGCAGGGAGCACCACTTTTTCTACTTCTAAAGCTACCCCATTACTACCAACTGCAAGAACAGAACTGCTCCAGAAGATGCATGCTACACATCCAAGGAAAATGAAGTCAGCATTTAGGAATGGGGCACCCTTCTACTTTTGGCAGCAAGTGCTATCATCAAGCAGTCTCTGAGTCAGCTATGAAGTTAATCATTATGCAGCTTGTTCAGAAGCTAATTAGTTGAACAGCGACGGTATTAATTTCGCAGTTGGGCAGTAGCTCAGTATTGGCCAAGTAGCTCAAACAGAATGCAGTGTGTGGTGGAAGAGGTTAACTCTCTGTGATAGGAACACTGATTGTAAACAGCATTCTTAGTTAAAGGTATTTGGTCATTCTGTCCTCTGAGAGTGGTGTACATACCTTTAGTTGGTCCAGCTGTAGTTTATTGGCATTCTCACATACAGTGAGCACGTTCTGAAGGTCTACGGAAGCCTCAATGTACTGCAGGCACAGCTGTTCTAGCCGAGCCAGGTGAAAGCTCAAGGCAAGCTTGTAAACATCCATTATCAGCAAGACATCCTGCACGTGACCTACATGACAAAGAAGGCGACATCTCAGTATTTCAAACATGAAAATACTATTCAGGAATTAGAAATGATGCTTAGCCCAGACTGTTCCTGATACGGAAGTGCTTTATGTTGACAGGAAAAAAGAAAGCAGAAAAAAAATTCCATTCGCTGTCACCATTGCTCATTTTGATGAGTGGGACATTCACCTAATATTCTTTTCAAAATAATTAAGAAAAGTTTTGGCATCTGTTAGAGGAGTTGAACGCTCTAATACTATGCTTTATAAGGTACTCAACCCATGATGTGCACAGGACAAGACCCACAGAAATGAGACTGCTTAAAGCAGCAATACTTATCTATAATACACAGAACAGCAGATTCTTTCCCTAGCATTTCAACTGGGTTCACTTTCATTCCCCATTCTCAGCAGGTTTCGCTGTACACAAGGTAGGAGAAAGCAATAGGATGAAAGAATTCTATAATTCAGGAAACAGACTGGGATTTTTGAAGGCATGGATCTAGGACTGTAAGTTGTTTCCCTGGTGCCATGATCTAGGATGTCACTGAGTGGCTTCAGATCACTGATGATGAACAGTCAGTAGTCATTGTATTGATATGTATATCACTTCTGACAACATACCACATATACTTGTGCAAGAGTTGAATTTTTAGACTGTGCTTTAAGGTTAAATTTATGGGGTCGACTATTACATGGATACCACTTTTGAGGGGCTGAAATTCATGCTACAGTCCAAAATACTGTTGATCTCTAAATGAATAAAGAAATAAAGACACAATGAATTACAGTAATTACCAGATAAAGACAATAGAAACAAATGAATTAGTAAGCTTTTACTTATACATACAAAAAGTGAAGTACAAATATAATATGGCTTTAAATTACAGTTACATGGTACATCTTAAATTAAACATGTCAAATACAAAAGTTCATTAAAATCCTGCAAAGTCACATATGTTCAATATCTTCAGCACCGAACAAAGCTTCTTAATCATTAGGATGAATGATATCATCATATGGATCCTCTTCATCTTCGCTGTCTGTAGTTAGAAGTAGCACATCATCCACTTCTTCTTCATCTATGTCATCCCATAGATAATTGTCCTCTGCACCGTCTAAAGCATTCGAAATTTCACATTTCTTGAATGATTTAAAAATAGTGTCAGCTTTTATTTCTTTCCATGAATCAATGATCCGTTCACAGATCAGTGGCAGTGATGGAACCCGCAAACTGCCTCCTTTTGTGTATGTTTTTTTCTCCATCACACATCCAGTTATTCCACTTCAATCGCATCATGTCCTTAAAAGGCTTATTTATGCTAACATCTACTGGTTGGAAAACACTTGTAAGTCTGCCAGGAATTACAGTTACGTCAGTGTTATGTGATCACAACATTCTTCACTTGATGTGGTCTAAACTGGTCCCAGACGAGCAAACTCTTTTCCTTGCGTAGTCCACCAGGTCATAAATTCCAAACTTCCTTTATCCATTTTCTATTATCCACCTTTATCCATCCAGTCTTGTGGATGCATATGGTCAACAATTCTGTTTGGAAATTTCTCCGTTGGCAAAGTTTTTGTCTTAAAAACATCGGTTTTAACCTAGTGCCATCAGCCATACAAGAAAGAACTAAAGTAATCCTACTTTTCTCATGGCCAGTGTTTATCACCAATACTACTTTTCTCCTTTTTGGCTCACAGTTTGATTCTCCGGCATGTTGAGAGTAATAGGCAGTTTGTCCATGCTTCCAATGCATGAGAACTTGTAGCCTTCCTTCTGCTGATTTCTGATTACAAACTGATGGAACTGTAATATCTTAGCTATGAGTTCAACAGGCAGCTTTTGTTCAATCTTAGTTATCTGCCAAAGCACTAAGTCATGCCTTCTCATGAACCTCGTGCACCATCCAGCACTCGCCTTAAAATCCGAAAATCCATCCTTCTTTGATTCGTTTCGTGCATGGATTCAGGTGGCTTCATGACTAACAAATTTTCCATTTTGACGATTTTCAAGTACCAACTCAGCAACATTTTTTTCTCCAATTGTGGCCCCTTGCTAGGTTTACCTCTGTTGGCTCACTTTCCTTTTGGCATTGTCTGAAGTTGGTTCAATAGCTTTCTCCAGTCTCTCACAAGTTTCTCCGAAACACAAAATTCTCTTGCTGCGACAGTTATTTGCCTTCTCTGCAACTTCAATAACTTTCAGTGTAAACGCTGCTGTATATTTTTTGTTTTCTCTGGAGGACATTTTTACACAAAAAGAAGAAGAAATTTCAAAACCTCAGCTAGATACATGACTGTATTCCACAAATGCCTGACACTGACTTGATGGGTCTTAAACTTTCATGCCAAATTCTTCCAATTGCCTCCATTTTCTCTCATCTATTGTTGTTTTAGTTTTTCAAACTAACATTTCAAGCTTTTATTTCTGATAAAAAAACTTACACATTTGATTCTGATATTGTCTTAACAATCATCTCCTCCTCATAACATTTTTGTTCAGGATAATACATTGACTCACAAATGTTGATCTGCTGTGAAGAACTAGGGTCAACTTTTACAGGAGATATATAGAAAATTCAAGATTTTTTAGCCAAAAAAGGGGGTTGACTTTACATGAGATTGATTTTTACTCCAGCATACACAGTAGATAGAAACTGAGATGAGAACCTCCTGCAGGCAGTTTTGAGGGAGCTAACAAAGAAATGGTCAAGCAGCATCTCAAAAAGTAGTGATCTCCAAATTACTTCCAGTGCCACACATTAGTAAGTACAGAAATGGGATACAAATGGAATAGAAACAGCATATAAATCTGCAGCTGAAGAGGTGGTGCTGGAAGAAGGGCTTTAGATTCTTGGGACACTGAAGCTGGTTCTGGAATACGTGGTACCTGTACATGTCAAATGGGACTGGCTCTCAAACAGGATTAATGTCCTTGAAAGGTGACGTATTTGAGACAGTGGATTTTTGTACACTGGATGAATCCAAATCATCAAAAACAATAGTAATATATACAAGTTTACACAGTGTCATTCAGTTCTTTACACTGTACAGAAAACTACTGTGTCAATGTTTGATGATAAACTGAACTGTGAGAAATGACTTTGAGTTTTGCTGGGAGATCCTGTGAAATCTTGGTCTTCTATCACAATACAAAATTGTTTATTTTCATAAACTTGAAACGCCACCCAGGGCTGACTTTGAAACCTGTGGTACCTAATGTTCTCGCTCGTTCCAGAACGAAGATATTTACAGACAAAACAAAGCTGGGTGGGAGGATGAACTGCGAGGAGGGTGCAGAGATGCTTCAGTGTGATTTGGATAAGTTAAATGAGTGGGCAAATACATGGTAGATGAAGTAGAATGTCGATAAATGTGAGGTTATTCACTTTGGTGGCAAAAACAGGAAGCAGGTTATTATCCGAATGGCAACAGTTTGGGAAAGAGGGAGGTGCAATGAGACCTGGGTGTCCTTGTACGCTGGTCATTGAAAGTAAGCATGCAAGTGCAGCCGGTGAAGAAGTCAAATGATATGTTGGTGACAGGATTCAAGTATAGGGTGAGACCACACCTGGAGTATTTTGTGCAGTTTTGGTCTGCTTATCTGAGGAAAGATATTCTAGCTACGGAGTGAGTGCAACGAAGGTTGACCAGGCTGACGCCTGGGATGGCAGGGCTGACATTTGAAGACAAACTGGATCAGTTAGGCGTACATTCACTGGAGTTTAGAATAATGAGAAGGCTCTTCAAAGAAATTTTCATTTCATTCGAACAAGATTAAGCAGGGTAAATGCAGAGAAGATGTTCCCAAGGACGTAGGGTCCAGAAATAAGGGCCACAGTTTAAGGACCTGGAGTAGGCGATTAAGGGCTGAGATAAGGTCAAACTCAGAGTGGTGAGCCTGTAGAATTCTCTGTCAAAGAACGAGACTGAGATCAAAATATTAAATGTTTTTAAGAAGGAGTTAGATATAGCTTTTTTGGGCTAAAGGGATCAAAGGATATGGGATGAAAGTGAGAACACGGTACTGAATTGGTTGACTAACAGGAAGCAAAGAGTGGGGATAAATGAGTGCTATTCTAGCTGGCAGTCAGTGACTAGTGGTGTGCCTCAGGGATCGGTGTTGGGACCGCAATTATTTACAATTTATATAGATGACTTGGAGCTGGGGACCACGTGTAGGGTGTCAAAGTTTGCAGATGACACTAAGATGAGGGGCAAAGCAAAGTGTGCAGAGGACTGTGAAACTTTGCAGAGGAACGTAGATACATTGAGTGAGTGGGCAAAGGTCTGGCAGATGGAATACAAGTCATACATTTTGGTAGGAGTAATAGTAAAAAGGATTATTACTTGAATGATAAAAAGTTGCAGCATGCTGCTATGCAGAGGGACCTGGGTGTCCTTGTGCATGAATCACAGAAGGTAGGTCTGCAGGTACAACAAGTAATTAGGAAGGCAAATGGAATTTTGTCCTTCATTGCTAAAGGGATTGAAATAAAAAGCAGAGAGGTTATGTTGCAGCTGTACAAGGTGCTGGTGAGGCCACACCTAGAGTACTGTGTGCAGTTTTGGTCTCCTTACTTGAGAAAGGATGTACTGGCACTGGAGGGGGTGCAAAGGAGGTTCACTAGGTTGATTCCAGAGTTGAGGGGGTTGGCTTATGAGGACAGACTGAGTAGATTGGGATTATATTCATTGGAATTCAGAAGATTGAGGGGGGATCTTATAGAAACATATAAAATTATGAAGGGAATAGATAAGATAGAAGTAGAGAGGATGTTTCCACTAGCAGGTGAAGCTAGGACAAGAGGGCATAGCCTCAAGATTAGAGGGAGCAGATTTAGGACTGAACTGAGAAGGAATTTCTTCACCCAGAGGTTTGTTAATCTATGGAATTCCTTGCCCAGTGAAGTAGTTGACGCTACTTCAGTAAACGCTTTTAAAAAAAAGGTAGATTTTTTTTGAACAATAAAGGAATTAAGGGATACGGTGAGAACGTGGGTAAGTGGATCTGAGTCCACGAAAAGATCAGCCATGATCTTATTGAATGGCGGAGCAGGCTCGAAGGGCCAGATGGCCTACTCCTGCTCCTAGTTCTTGTGTTCTTGTGAATTGAATGATTAGCTACGATGATACTGAATGGCACAGTTGGCATAAAGATTTGAATGGCCTACTCCTGCTCCTATTTTCAATGTTTCTGTGAGGCATAATAGGATGAAGAGTCAATGTTGAGGACTCTCAGAGCCACTTCCTCCTGAATGGCCTAGTGGTATTATCACTGGACTGTTAATCTAGAGATGCAGATAATGTTCTGTGGACCCGGGTTCAAATCCAGCCACGATAGATGGTAGAATTTGAATTCAACAAAAAAAAACATGGAATTAAGAATCTAATGATGACCACTGTTGATTGTTGGAAAAATCCATCTGGTTCACTAACATCCTTTTGGGAAGGAAGCTGCCGTCCTTACCTGGTCTGGCCTACGTGACTCCAGGTGCACAGTAACATGGTTGACACTTAACTGGGCAACTAGGCATGGGCAATAAATGCTGCTCAGCCAGCAATGCCCTCATCCCAGAAATTAATGAAGAGAAAAATATTAGCACCACAGTGCCGTCACCTCTGATGGCTTTACCCTGTGGTTCCATAGAACCTATCTAGAGATGAAAGGGAAGGATTCTTTTCCAGTGTTTGCAAATATTGTTACAATCAAGACTGGGAGAGTGCACTGTTGTAGTAGTTTCACCACTCCACAAGTCACAACAACAAAAAAAGTTTTTTTCCCCAGTTGACAAGATGACGAATTAAATACCATATCTTCATCAGGTGTTTTTCTATCAACCAGGTTTCTTAATATTGATACATCAAAATTATTATTCATATATAATTATTAATCAATAAAGTTACAATAATTGGTTAAAATATACAATCAATAACATAGAAGTATACATGTTTGTTCCTCAACATAGTACCAAAGTATAGACATGCTTTCAGGAAAAGACAAGAAACATTTTTTTCCCCCCTGGAGAAAGCAAAATACCACTGATGCTGAAATCCGAAATAAAAATAAACAGAGAATGCTAGAGAAACTCAGTAGATCTGGAAGCATCTGATTACTCTCCACAGAGTTAATGTTTTGAGTCTAACGATGCTTCTTCAGACTTTTTTCTGAGATTGGCTATCCAACAAAAATACTTTTGCCAATAGGCAATTTTTGAAGGTGAAAGGATAAAGTGTAGGATGTTTCCAAAATCTCTATTGCTCTGATGTCCGTCACATGTGGTCAAACCACTTATAATGCACAGTTGCCTCTGAAATCTTGCAGGCACTGCTTGCTCAGGCAATAGAATCTTCAGATGTTCTTTCAATCACTCTTGCAAAAGAGCGAATATGTTTCACACTGAACTCCAAAGATGGTCTTCTTTTCAGAAATTAGCTGGATAGCTTGTTCTCAGCAAACATTCCTCCAACTGAACCAGATTAAGTTAGAACCTCTCCAACTCCTGTGTTGAAAACAGCCTCAGCAGGGGTCTGCAACCAAGCAAGCAGCTTTCAGCAGTCATCAGGTATTCAATTATCCCTTTCAATGTATTTCCACAGAAGTCGAAATAAATCAATTTTTCACAGACCATCAAAACCTAAGTCCTCTAAGCAAATTTAAACATAAAGCACAAAAAAAAGACTGAGCGACCACTTTGCAGAACTCCTACAATCTGTCTGCAAAAATGACTCTGAGTTGCCAGTTGCCTGCCACTTCAACACACCACCGTGTTCCCTAGTCAACATCTCGGTCTCAGGCTTGCTGCAGTGCTCCAGCGAAGTTCAGCATAAACGGGAAGAATAGTGCCTCATTTTCCACTTGGGAATGCTGCAGCCTTCTAGACTCAGTATCAAGTGCAATGATTTTGAGGCTTGAGCACCTTCTCCCATGTCCTTACACCAATCCCTACATACCAAGACTTGTCATCACATGGGCTGATACCACACACAACCCATTGTCAGCCACTAATAGTCCCTATTAGTAGCTACCCATTCTCCCAGGCTGACCTTTACCCACTCTTTTGTCTGCCCAAGTGTTTTCCTCTCTCTCTCTCTCTGGGCTCCATTTCTACTTATCATCTACTCCTCAACCCCTCTACTACTCTATCTATAGCACCATTTTCCTATCTACGAACAGTTCTGAAGAAGGATCACTGGACCTGAAAGCATGGATTTATGAAGGGGAAAACATACTTGACGAATCTGTTAGAATTCTATGAAGATGTAAATAGTAGAGTTGACAAGGGGAGCCAGTCAATGTTTGGACTTTGAGAAAGCACTTGACAAATTCCCACTTAAGAGATTAATGTACAAGATTAAAGAGCATGGGATTGGGGGAAGTGTATTGAGATGGATAGGAAACTGGTTGGCAGAGAGGAAACAAAGAGTGAAAATTAATGAGTCCTTTTCAAATTGGCAGGCAGTAACTAGTGGGGTGCCACTGGGATCGGTGCTGGGGCCCCAGCTATTCACAATATATATTAATGATTTGAATGAGGGAACAAAATGTAACATCTCCAAGTTTGCAGATGATACCAAGTTGGGTGGGAGGGTGAACTGTGACGAGGATGCAGAGATCCTTCAGCATGGTCTCGACAGGTGGGGTGAGTGGGCAAATCAATGGCAGATGCAGTAGAATTTGGATAAATGTGAGGTTATTCACTTCGGAAGCAAAAACAAGAAGACAGATTACTATCTGAATGGCTGTAAATTGGGAGAGGGGAGTGTGCAGTGGGACCTGGGTGTCCTTGTGCACTAGTCGCTGAAGATAAGCATGCAGGTGCAGCAGGCGGTAAAGAAGGCAAATGGTATGTTAGCCTTCATTGCGAGAGGTTTAAAGTACAGGAGCAGGGATGTGTTGTTGCAGTTATACAGGGCCTTGGTGAGACCACACCTGGAATATTGTGAGCAATTTTGGTATCCTTTTCTGAGGAAGGATGCTCTTGATCTTGAGGGAGTGCAGCAAAGGTTTACCAGGTTGATTCCGGGGATGGTGGGTCTGACATATAAAGAGAGATTGCCTAGGTTGTGATTGTTTTTGCTGGAGTTCAGACGAATGAGGAGGGATTTTATAGAGACTTGTAAAATTCTAACAGGACTGGACAGGATAGATGTAGGGAGGATGTTCCCGAAGGTGGGTCTATCCAGAACCAGGGGTCACAGTATGAGGATTCCGGGTAGATCATTTAGGACGGAGATGAGGAGACGTTTCTTCACGCAAAGACTGGTGAGCCTGTGGAATTCATTACCACAGGAAGTAGTTAATGCCAAAACATTGAATGTACTGAAGAGGTGACTAGATATAGCTCTTGGGGGTGAATGGGATCAAAGGTTATGGAGAGAAAGCAAGATTAAGCTATTGAGTTGGACAATCAGCCATGATCGTAAAGAATGGTGGAGCAGGCTCGAAGGGCCGAATGGCCTCCTCTTGCCCTTATCTTCTATGTTTCTTGGAAAGGTTAATATTTTCTTCTCTCCATAGATGCTGCCAGATCTGAATTTTTCCAGCAATTTCTGTTTTTGCTTATAAATATAAAGCATCTTTGTTACAATATAAATTCAAGTTATTGTTGCTTTAGTGATTGTGGTAAATGCACAGGTCTGAAATTGAAGGATTATTGGATGGTATCTACCATTAAAATACCGAACATGAAATGGACAACAGCTGCACATGTCAGTCATTTACTGTGCTCCGCTACAGGCAAGTTTAGAATTATATTCAGTTTAAATAAGATTGGTGAGACATTAGAGGGACCACAAAAATGTACTTTGTGAGCCTTTCTTGGAATTTATTCTTTGTCCGATTTATTTTACAGATTTGTGCCAGCACAGCTCAGTTTCTCAGATTTACTAAATCATTTAAGGAATTTAATTATTGCAAAATGGTGGAAGATTTAAGCATGTCAAACTGATAGTTTTTCCACAATTAAATGAATCAAATCAACCAAAAGATTAACGTGCAGAAAATGCTTGAAATGCTCAGCAAGCCAGACAGCATTATAACGGCAGTTGCTTACTGCATAAAGTATATACAGTAATAGTAAAAATGGAAGCCAAAACTTTGAGAAATTCAGTGGCTAAGGGGCTAATTCTTAATAACCAAAGTTTAGGAAAGAGGAAGCCGAATTCTTTCAATTTCCTACAAAATATTTGAAATAAAAACGCCATTTTTGAAAAGAAGCAAAGTAGGATTTAAGGAGATTTGATTTAGCAGAAAAAGAATTGAACATTACCTTTCCGTGGGTACTTGATTTTGTCAGTGTAGAGAAACTGCATCAGGATCTCAAATGGTTGTGCCTCAGCTTCACGGATCACCACCTCCAGCTGAAGCTGGGAATTTGCTGGTTTCACGTTAGTGCTTGCTATTTCTTCTCCAACTGCCATCTCCTGCTTGGTTTTCTGATGGACAAGAAGTTGGTAAAACATTAAAATCAGTCAAATTCACAGTAATGGAAGAAACTGGTTACTTGCTGACGGACAATCAGAAAATGTTCACAAAATTTTCCCAGGGACAGCAAGATGAAAAAAAATGTACTAAGCCTTTTTGTATTTATGGTGTGGAATTGTTGCAAGACAACTCATCAAAAGGCTTCCAATGGAGTTAACTCTACCAATATGTAAATAGTATAGAAAAGAAATTGAAAGCAATAGGAGAAACACAATGTGTTTGTTATATCACACTTCAGGAGGCTGACAGAATGGTCGACACAGTAACATGACATAGCCTCAGTGATTTAGCAGCCAGTTTTGCACACTGCCTAATTCTCTTTTTCCTTCTCTCAATTTCAGGGTTAGTCATAGTTCAACACACGCTCCAGACATCTGAATGCCTCACTTTCAAATGGTCAAGTCTTCAGTACATTTAGGGTAATAATGCCTTTAAAAGAATCCGACAGCATTTTAATTAATTCAAACTGCCTACCTGCTTTAGCCGATCTCTGGCCTGGATAATCTTCTTTCTTAACCATTTGCTTCGAGCTGTGACCATTGCTATATGCCCTTTAACTCTCTCTTCTTTCTAGTATCAGGTCAGAAAAAATAATGATTAATACATTGCCACTTGGGTAATCATCAACTAGGGTTGGTGATATCATAAGTGATGAAAAAGGCCATTGCAGAATCATCTGATGCACTGGATCACACCAGGATATAGTACTAAAAAGTCAATGTTCACACTCCGAATCACTCAAACTTGCTTTTCAAAGCAGTCTTTCCCTCATGAACCAAATGCCAACATTGCTGAAAATGCTGGCCTGAATCCAGATTAACAGCTGTTACCTCTCCTAGGATGAATTCCACATCACAGAACTGCCTGTTCTCCCACAGTCTCCCATAGTCTTCATGTAAAGTGCATTTTGGATAACAGGAAAACTGGAATTGAAAGATAGAGATTTGAAGATGTAAGATGTGTAGATGCTCCATACTGACAACGCAAAGAATTATATTAAACATGCAACACAAAAACAGGCTACATTCGACTCAAGGCGTTAACTCTGTTTTTCTGTCTGTAGATGCTCCCAGACCTGGTGAGCTTCTGCAGCATCTTCCATTTTTACTTCAAATCTGCAGCATCCGCAGTACTTGGCTTTTAGTTTAGTGTGTACCGATGTTTATGTTGCATAGGAGATTCCTCTTATTCGATCTAGCCCTTCAGTACATCTTTTCTTTTTCCTCTCACTTACCTAGTTCTTTTGAAAGTATTCATCCGTATTATTCGTACCACTTCCTATGGTATCAAGTTTTACTTTCTAACCATTCTCTGAGCAAGCAAGTTTCTTATTTCCCTGTTGGATTGTATCTATATTCTATTTATGATCTCCACATCTACCCTGTCCAAACTAACTATAGTCTTTAAGAACTTGACAAAAAAGAAGCCCTATTCAATCTTTTCTAATAGCTGTCATTTCTCAGTTCTGATATTGTTCTTGGAGACCAGAATGATGTCAACGTAAGGCCTGACCTAGGTGCTATTTAATGTTTAAGATAACGTGACTACTTTTGAGTTACACATTCCTAGAAACAAGTTCCAGTGCTTTATTTGTTTTTAAAATCACTGCTGATCGGTGATGCTGCTTTTAATTATTTGTTCGTCTATATCCTTAGATTCCTTTGATTGTCTGACTCATCCTGTTTCTTATTTTCTAAGGTATGGGTGATATTCCCATTTTTCCTATTAACCATCAGTTTCCTCAGCATCTACAAACTGAACACGCTTAAATATCATCATTTTGCTTTCATAATTTAGATTAAAATTTAACATCAGTGCATTGGCCTTTTGACACTCATTTTTAAAGATATATTCTTCAAATTTTACTGCCCACTGTTCGCATCTAGTACCATGAGTTTCATAAAATAGGGGCCCAATGCACATAAGTGCATGTGTACTTAAATAAGTGGCTAATGCTTTGCTTACCTGAAACCGATACATCTCTCCACTTCTTACATTGTTGTCCACTGTCCCACCAAAGATATACATAGCATCAGAAATAACTGCTGCAGCATGGAAAAGTCTTCCACTGGGCATCTGAGAATTCAAAGCATGAAAGTATTTCAGGACTGAAGTAACTTTGAAGATCTGTTCTCTACGTTTTCTCCCACTTTTGGGGAGAAGTATTTTACAGGAAGATAGAAGACATAAGAGATAGACATCATCACTGCAAATGAAATCACAAGAGCTTTAATTTTATGCATTATCAATATGAAATGCTAAGTAAATGAAAAGTTCAGTTTGTTAATACTTCCCTTATTCAATCACATTAAGCACTTCCAAACGTGTTGAATAAAACACAAATTGAATGCATTTTAATATCTCTCTGTACTGCTCCATATATCAACTCCAATCTTTACTATACAAGCATAGTTTTCATTTTTCCCCATTGTGATGATTATAGTGTGACAATGCTGTAGCTTTAAGAGGTGTGTTTTGTCCTAGTTTCTTTTAGAGAGAGATTGGGGGACAGATGCCAAGCAGTCTGTGAGAAGATAAACAACTTGTGAGGCCTTGGGTTTTTTAAAAAGTTGGAACAATAGAAGCAGCCTGAGTAGGTGTGGTCAAGCTCCCACCCACAGAACCAGGATTTTTAGTTTTAGCTTCCGGCAGTTGTTGCTGGGGTCTCAGCAGGGGTGGAAGCTGCAGTAAATCTCTCCAAACGGCTAGACTCTCTCTCCGAGTTTCCTCTGGATGTTCTTCCTCCTGCTACAGGAGTTGCATGTGAGACAATCTATATTCTGAATCTGCCTTTTGCCAGCGTGTGCTTATGGGATGTTGCTATATTGTTAATTAGTAATAGTTATTGCATCTATTATTCTGTTAAGTTATTCCAATAGAGTTAAGTTATTCAAACTCCTCCACTACAGCCGTCAGCGCTAGGAACACCTCCACTACAGCCGTCTGCGCTCGGAACACCTCCACCACAGCCGTCAGCGCTAGGAACGCCTCCACCATAGCCGTCAGGGCTAGGAACACCTCCCACAGCCATCAGGGTAGGAACAACCTCCATTACAGCCATCAGGGCTAGGAACACCTCAATTACAGTCATCAGGGCTCGGAACACCTCCACTACAGCCATCAGTGCTAGGAACACCTCCACTACAGCCATCAGCGCTAGGAACACCTCCATTACAGCCATCAGGGTAGGAACACCTCCACTACAGTCATCAGGGTAGGAACACCTCCATTCCAACTATCAGCGTTTCTTTTGTTGTATTTTAACTTTAGTGGATGAGTGAAGTGTGTTTTACTTTAAATCCAGTAATTTGACCAATCGAATTGCACCTGGAACGCAACACATTGCATTTACCTTTAAAATGAGAAAAAGTTGGGTCTAGACTATCTTCTGAATATTTTGATGGGGGTTTGGTCTGATTCATAACAATAGACAGAGAAAATTATTTTTACCGCTCTCCTCTCCCCCACCACTGCTATTTACACTTTATACAGCATGTTACCCCCAGCACTTGCTCCTATTACAGTGTCACCCAGTGAGCAGGTGGTAAGGATTAAGCAACTATATAAACACAAATTGCTGTAACCCATCCAGATTAATTTTTTTTTCCCCTATGAACAAGCTCCAATTAGCAGATGCCTTTACTCTCTGGGTTAGAAAATGCCACAGGATTCAGAACCGTCTTAAGAAACTTCCTCTCATCTTAGTCCTAAGTGGTTGACCCCTTACGCCAAGTCTGTGATCCCATGTTCTCGGCTCCCAGTCAAGGTAAACAACCTCAACCTCCCAGAATATATCTTGCCCACATTTTAAGAATTTTGTATTTTTCAATAAGAAATTCTTCTAAACTCTAGTCTACTCAATTTTTCCCCATAAAATAATCCTGTCATTCCAGGAATCAGTCAAATGAGCCTTTGTCATATACTCCTCTTGAAGAGTGTATACATCCTTAGGTAAGGAGACCAAAACTTTACACAATAGTCTTGGTGTGGACCTAAACAATTGCAAGAACTACTTTACCCTATCCCTTTGCAATGAAGGGGAACATATTTTCTTTCTTGATTGCTTTCTTCAATAGCTGTGGCTCAGTTTCTAGTATTTGGGCCTCAGAGTCTGTTTCTGTCCAGGATACAAGCACAAAAACCAAGGCTGACACTCTGGTCTAGTACTGAGTGTGCTGGACTATTGGGGCTGCTGATTACCAGATAAGACATTAAACCAATACTCTATTCATCTTCTCTAATGAACATAAAAGATGCCACTATATTATTTCAAAGAAGCTCATTTGGCGGTGAATAGTATGGGAACAGGAACAGATGATTTAGCCCCTTGAGCCTGTTCTGCCATTCAGCAGATCATGGCTTATTTATGAGTTAACACCATAAACCTTCCTATGCACACACTCCTCAACAGCTTTTGATGAACGAGAATCTACCAACTTTAGATTCAAAACTAACTGACTGAGTATCAATTGCTCTTTGCAGAAAACCCTTTTCCACCCTTTGTGTGGAAAAATATTTTTACACTCCTGGGGGTCAAGATGTAATGTTCAGACTGCGAATGCCCCTAGTCATAAAGTTCCTGAGCAATGGAAACACTTTTTCTCAACCAAACCCAATATCTTGGAAACTTTGATCAAACCATTCAATAACCTTCAAAATTCTCGGAAACGCATTGCTAGTATATGTAATTTTTCCTGTAAATGCATAACTTGAGAACTTTTTTTTTAAATTTGTTCCTGGTTACCCAATCCCCAGCTGATAAAAAACAGCGAATATTAAGTATCACATCCAATGGGAAACAAAAAATCGATGCCTAGTTTTAAGGGATAGAGCAACATGCTATTAGGACCTTAGCATTAGATCACAATTGTCTTTGGGACTTTTTTCCACTGGCGTTTAGGAGGTTGAGAGATGACTTATAGAAGTTTATAAAATACTGAAGGGTACAGATCGAGTTAATGGTAATTGCCTTTTCCCTAGGATGGGGGATTTCAGTACTAGGGGGCACATTTGTAAGGCGAGAGGAGAAAGATGTAAAAAAGACATGACAGGCAAATTTTTTTATACAGACAATGGTTTGCGAGTGAAATGAACTTCCTGAGGAAGTCGTGGATGAGGGTATAATTACAACCTTTAAAGACTTTTGGTTAAGTATATGAATAGGAAAAGGTTTGGAAGGACATGTGCCAGGAGCTGGAAGGTGGGACTAGTTCAGTTTGGGATTATGTTTGGCATGGACTAGTTGGAGCGAAGGGTCAGTTTCCACGCTGTGTGACTCTATGACTCTAACGGTTTGTTTGGAGACTTAGCATTTGGCCAAAAAAACCAAGACAAAATGTAGATGATAGCATCACCCAAATTGCTGTCACTCTGCTTCTGGCAGGGAACCAAGAAAGCAGAACTGCTACAAGTCTGCCCTCTCAACTAGGAAATTATTTTTAACTCCAGGATAATGAAAAGAAGCATTGAATGCTAACTTCTTATGTTTGTTTCTACAATAGCAGGACACTTATATTTGTTCAGCTAAACCATCAAGGACACCATCCAACAATGCTTCCAGTGTGCTTGAGTCAAAGCCTTCAACCATTTTGGCATGAATATCATCTAGGTGAAATGTGGATGAGTGACAATGCGAGTGCAGTAACTCTTCACTGCCACTGGATAGAGCCAGAATGCTGCAAATGAATCATCCCTTCAGATTCTAGATTGCATAGCCAGTATTGTATCTGAACTGTAGCATAATGCTCTTACTTATATGTTAAATATCAACCTCACATTTCTTTGAGGAAGTTACTGCGGCCTTAGGAAGAGTTCACTTGGCTTTTAACTCTTTGTCTAAATATAATGGCTGCTTGACCAAACCAGACAAATTGGAAGTACTCATCAGCTTGAAATTCTTTTCCTCTTAAAGTCTTCATAAAACAGAATTATGATGCATCCAGAACCTGAGTTAGCATCCTATGGTGATATTATTTTTCATTGTGGCTTGAAAGACATTAGAAGATTCAGTGCACTGGAATACTTTGCATAGCTTTGATGAGTGCTGCTCCAACACTGCTCAAGGAGTTCAATACTATCCATGACGTAGCAGCCTGCTTGATCAGCATCACATTCACCACCTTAAACATTCACTGTTTTCCCCACTGGTGCACCCTTGCATCAGTGTGGACCATCTAGAAGATGCATTGCAGCTACACTTCAAGGCTCCTATAACTTTCCAAACCCATAAACCCTATCGTGTGGAAGTACAGCAACAGCATACTGATGGAAACAGAAAAACCTTAACATTGTTCTCCAATTCACGAGCTACCCTTACTTGGAACCAGATTTCCATGCATTCACTGTGATTGGGGTCAAAATCCTGACATCTCCCTACCCCCTAAGCGTTGTGGCTGTATCTACACAACATGGACTGCATAGTGTTCGCCGCTACCTTCTTAAGGTGAATAAGAGATGGCAACAAATGCTAGTCTTATCAGGGACACCCATGTCTCATGAACAAATAAAAATAATTTATCCAAATTAGCTAGTCAATCATTCACCAGTTAAAGTCCAAGTGGAGGAAGGGACACATGGATCTTTCTGCATGAATAGAAAAATTCCAACTGTAAGTTAACCTCCTAATCTATTAAGAATACTCTCCAAACAGATGATTCAGAACTGATTGACATACACTGTGAACCAAGCCTCTGGATTACATGCCAGGTACAAATGGAATGAAACAAAGAAGTGGCTCTAAATATTAATAAAACATCAATTAATTGCGATGCCATAATTAAAGTTACAAATTCAACAAAAGAAAAATCAGCATTTCTAACAGCTTGAATTGTAATCCAAGGTTTTGTAATACGCGAAGCTTTAATACTTCAGAACAAATTAAACTAAATCCAAATGAATTATATTAGAGTAGAAATCTTATTCCCAGATTTGCAGCAGTTTGTTGAGATTAAAAATTTAGAGTTAAATGTTTATAAAGTCCATTACTAACTGTTGTCTTTGGCAGTTACATTCAGCAATTAACCTTAAACTGTGAGAGAAGATAATGATAAGCTAAAACAACAATGTCTTGTAATCTTGATTCTTGCTGCTTTAAATTTAGCTAGGTAAAATAAGCTGCTATAGGCCTGCAGCAGTGAAAATACCATTCTGCTGAAATCTGCATTATAATTTATTTGAATTCAATGCCATTACTGACTTACCACATTTGCATGAAAGATTACACAATAATCTGCACAAGAATTATTGTCATATTAGTGTGCGCCATATATTAAAAAATGCCAAAACGGCCATAACTTCCCCATTTCAGCACACACTTCATCATGCATATCAGCGTGCACGCGCGCACACACACACATATATAAACCTATGGGGTGAATCATTTCATTCAAGATGTTTGTTTATTTGCAGTTACATTCTATTTTGTTCAAGAAACACACAATTTGTAGTCACAGTCAGTGTGACATTTTATAAATTCCTGCTTTTGGAACAAAACTAGCCTGATTCCAGGTGAAAACTCTGAGACAGACTCTGGACGAGGCCTCACATCTACAATTCACTGTCTGACCTGAGATGTCACTGATGGTATATGCTTATCGCTCTACCTGTTTGAAGCTTGGAAAGTTAGGCAGATGTTGATGAAACCTTTAATTATCTCAGGGCAGTGACTTGAAACAGATATTGGAATTTGCATCTTAATCAATTGAAACTAACAGAATTTTCCATACCCTACTTCTGCAATTTCTAGAATGCAGAAATGTATGAATGATTAAAGATTTGACAGAAGGCAGTCGGCCAGCCATTTTAGGTTCGTTCACTCCACTCACACCAGTTATATGATCCTTTGATCTCTCTGCCCTTAAACTCTGTGTGTTCTCCTCTCACTGCACCAGATGAAGGGGCGGCTCTAAAAGCTTGTGATTTCAAATAAATCTGTTGGACTATAACCTGGTGTCATGTGATTTTTGACTGAAAATCCTTTGACAAGACATGGCCCTGGCAAAAACCACATCCACGGTATCACTGGTGCCTGTGGTCTGAAATTCGAGTTTTTGAAGTAATTCAATGTTTCAGTTCTGCTTTTGCTTTGAAGCTAGCACAATTGGCTGCCCACTCAAATTCTGATACAGAGATAGTATTAATTTACCAAAACACAAACACAAAATGCAGTCAAAATAAGTACAGGCAAATGTACAGTAGCAATTACCATTTTGCCTCATGTGCAGAAATAGAATATTACATCTTTTTGATACAAACACTCTGGAAAAAGTGTCAGTTTGCAGCCAGTTCCTCCCAAATTCAGTTTCCCTCATTCATTCGATGCACCATCAAACTTGGAATTTTCACAAAAATGCTGAAGTTATTTCTTACACGAAAAGTGTTAGACTCTTTAATAGCCATTCAGAATTACAGTGCCTGCTTCACCAGAATAAATCAGCTAAAAGAAAATCATTGTCTTGAACTCAAAGATTCTCAAGAAACATTCTGTACTGTGACTAAACATTATACCTCTGACCCAATGCCAAAACAAACAAATTTCCAAGACTGCTGTCTCTTCACTTTCACGAGAAGGTGTATGGCTAATGAGAGTGGCAACACATAACAATGGTTTTAAAGCTCCGTGTACAGATAATAGTTGTTCTTTCTCCTCCAGAGGAAGTACGGGGTGAAGAAAAACAATACTTGCAACTAATAAGCTAATAAAGAAGCTTCCTTAACCCATGGGAAACATGGAATACATTGTGAAAAGTCAAACCTTTCACATTGTACTGGCTTTAAATCTTGGATACTTTGCAAACTGGAGGTACACAATAACCTCCCTTCTCTTTCCAAACCTTGCATTAATTTCCTTAGAAACTGCAAGTCAGGTCCACAAATCCAGAATTTTACACAGGCATGAAGTGCAACACTGGCAGAACAAGTAACTTACCATAAAATCTGGATCATAAGTTGCCTCTGTGTACAAGTTGCTTCCCTAAATGTTGAAGACAATAAAATAAAGATGAAGTTACACATATAGAATACTGTTACACATATAAAGCAACAGATGCACAGGATCATGTTAGATCGAACAGGTCTACTGAATAGAAGATAACGTGTGGACTATGAATACTTGTACAAGCTGTTTGGGCCAAATGGACTCTTCTGGGCTAGATGTTACTTTTTTTTCACTTGCAATTCTCATCTCTCCAGCCTTATAGCATAATACACGCAAGTGCTCAGGCTTGAATTTATAGCAAAGAGTTTACTGGATCAACCATTCTGCTAATTGGAACACTAAGTGACATTGAATTTTGCTATTTCAACAATTAGATCATCATGTGCTATGCTGTGTTGTGAAATGGGATGGGGAAGATCCTGGACATATTTCAGGATTTTGAGCAAAGCTCATGAATCAAGTTTAAAAGTAAACTGTTACATAGAGATGCAACATGATCTGCAAAGTGAAAGGCAAGTTCTGATGCACTTGAGGCCATAATTCCCTTTCTTCATGGTGTCAACTCACATGAGGAGGCAGCTCCACAAATATCCCCATCCTTAATAATGGAAGAGCCCAACATCATTGCGAAAGATTAGGCTTAGCATTTGCAGCAATCTTCAGCCAGAAGTGCCATGTGGATGATCCATCTTGGCCTCCTCCAGTGATCCCTAGCATCACAGATACCAGTCTTTAACCAATTTGATTCACTCCATGTGATATCAAAGAATGCTTGGAGTCATAGGATACTGCGAAGGCTACAGGCCCCTATAGCATTCCGGCAATAGTACTGAAGACTTGTGCTCCAAAACTTGCTGCTCCCCTAGCCAAGCTCTTCCAGTACACTGCCTTCTACCTGACAATTTGAAAACTACCCAGGTATGTCCTGTACACAAAGTGCAGGACGAATACCGCCCCATCAGTCGACTCTCAAGTAAAGTGATGGAAGGTGGCACCAACAGTGCTATCAAGCAGCACTTGTTCAGCAATAGCCTACTCAGCGACATCCAGTTTGCGTTCCAACAGGGCCATTCTGCTGCTGACTTCATCACAGCCTTGGTTCAAACATGGACAAAAGAGTTGAATTCCAGAGGTGGGATGAGAATGACAGCCCTTGACATCAAGGCCATGTTTGACTGAGTGCAGCATCAAGGAGCCTAAGCAAAACTGGAATCTGGGTATTGGGGGCAAACTCTCCGCTGGAGTCATACCTGACATAAAGGAAGACAGTCATGGTTGTTGGAGGTCAGTTATCTCAGCTTCGGAACATCTCTGCAGGAGTTCCTCAGGGCACTGTCCTAAGCCCAAACATCTTCAGCTGCTTCAAAAATGACCTTCCCTCAATCAGACGTGGCGATGTTTACCAATGATTGTACAATGTTCAGCAAGATTTGTGCCTCCTCAGATACTGAAGCAGCCTGTGTTCAAATACAACAAAATCTGGACAATATCCAGACTTGGGCTGACAAGTGGCAAGCAACATTCGCATCACACATACGCCAGGCAATGACCATCTCCAAAAAGAGATAATCTAATCACCATCCTCTGACATTCAACGGTGTTGCCATCACTGAATGCTCCACTATCAACATCAGGGGGTTACCATTAGCCACAAACTCAAATGGACTCGCCATATAAATACAGTGGCTACAAGAGTAGGTCAGAGGCTAGGAATACTGTGGCAAGCAACTCACCTCCTGACTCCCTAAAGCCTGTCCACCATCTACAAAGCACGTCAGGAGTGTGATGGAGTACTCCCCACTTGCTTGGATGGGTGCAACTCCAACTCTGAAGCTTGACACCATCCAAATCAAAGCTGCCCACTTGACTGGCATCACCTCCACACGTATCCATTTCCTCTGCCATCAACACTGAGTAGCAGCAGTGTGTACGACCTGCAAGATGCACCAAAGATTCTTAGACAGCACCTTCCAAACCCATGACCCCTTCCACCTAGAAGGTCAAGGGAGCTGATGCATAGGAATACTACCATCTGCAAGTTCCTCTTGAAGGCACTCACCATCTTGACTTGGAAATATATCACCGGTTCTTCACTGTCACTGGGTTAAAATCATGGAATTCCCTCAAGGGCATTGTGGGTCTATCTACAGCAGGTGGACTGCAGCAGTTGAAGAAGGCAGATCACCACTACCTTCTCATGGGCAACTAGGGACAGGCAATAAATGCTGGCCAGCCAGCGACACCCACATCCCACAAGTGAATGAAACAAAAAAAAACTACTTGCATAATTACTGCATTTCTCTTTTTACTTCAAAATATAAATGTAGGCTCCACCGTCTGCATAACGCTCACTCCCCTCAGGTACACTCATAGCAATGCAATAATGCCTTGCTGAACAGGTAGCTCCAAGCACTTTTGATCAAACAACGTAGTCAGGAATACATGAAAAACTACATTTGAAAAGTAAATTAGATCTTTCAGTAACATGACACAGTGTTCGCTACCTGTGTTTTTGCTCTCATACAGATGTGAACAATTGATTAGGTCACAATAAATACTATCTAGAAGCTGTGATTTTTTTTACGAACATGAGTAGAGCAGACTTTTCACAGAAGGAAGTATCTGAAGGGACATTTTACAAATAAAAATAATTACTACATTAAAATTATTTTTGATACTTTTGTGCAGATATACATTCTACAATATACAAAATGAAATTTCCTCTGTTGCCTTAAACTACATGACAGCCAACGTACAGTGATACTGAGAGAGGGGTTCGGACAACTTGTTGGCGGCTTACCAATGTATCCACCAAGATACCTCAATTTAGGTTCTGTGCTTTTAATTTACAAAATGTGAACATCTTTTAGTCAAATATACCTGAGCAATCAAACAGAGATTTTAACAGACCATCAACCTTTGCAAGACACAATGATTTCATGCTTATCAACATCTTTTAGAATACATAATGAAGAAATATAAACTATCTACATTAATCATTATCATTGAATTAAAACAGAACTTGCTGAAGATAGGTTAAGAGTTAGCACAGGGCTTTTATATTTGAAGGACTCATCAAAAAAGTCACATCCCTGAAACGAGAATTTTTGGCGTTTGGGAGCAGTGGGAGAGAGGAGGATTGTGTTGCAGCAGACAACAGGGCAATTAACATTGCCTGAATCATATTTCATTTGAAAATAACTGAAAAAGTAAATCATACTACTAATATTAAAAGGAAAAGCATACAATTCTACATGCATTTTGAAGAAGAATACACAACTAAACTCACCTCACTGTCTGGGCTGGGCTGAATAACCTCCCATGTCTGAGAGTCTACATCATAGCAATGTAACTCATTAGGCAAAGTGTTATCTGCAGCACCACCGAACACATACAGATGTCGGTCAAATGCAACCATGGTGTGGCCATATCTTCTTTGAGGTGGGGCAGGGGAGCCTCGGAGTAAGTGCTCAGTAGGAATTCTTGTCCAACTGCATGACAACATAAACCAAATATAAATTATGAAATTTATGAAATTATAAAAATTTTAATGAAAACAATCTAAAGCCGTACAAGTTATATCAGCCATTATACAACTTCAAGTTAGGCTCTTGTCGCACAGTATTACTGTTCCTTCCTGCAGGCCAAAAATTCTGGGTTCAATTCCCACCAGGTTCAAGTCCCACCTTCCCCAAGCATGTGCCATAATGTGTCTGAACATGTTGATATTGAAATACCTACAAGTTCAACTTCCATCAAAGTGAATTTTATTCAAGTACTTTCACAATACTGTTATTTCAAAATGACAAATAACTTCCAAATTCAAATGTAATTCTTCAAACCCTTACAGTAACATAAAACAGCAGAACAAAATTTCAATGGAAGGACTAGATTAACTTAGGATATCAGGTTGGCATTGATGAGTTGGACTGAAGGGTCTGTTTCTGTGCCGTACAACTCTATGACTTTATGACTCAAAATTTAGAGAATTTACTTTGTATCACAGAAACCAAAAGAACTGTGAATGCTATAAATCAGAAACAAAAACAGAAATTACTGGAAAAACTCAGGTCTGGCAGCATCTGTGGAGAGAAACTATCAGCGCAGCACAGTTTTTTGAAGAGTAAATCGTGTTTGACTAATTTGCTAGAGTTCTTTGGAGATGTAACAAGCAAAATGGATAATGGGCGTCCCTAAAATCTGGACTTCCAGAAGGCATTTGATAAACGCCACACAAAGGGTTAATACACAAGGTAAGGGATAATTTATTAGCTTGGATAAGCTGGTTAACCAATAGAAAGCACAAACTTGGAATAAATGTTTCTTTTTCTGGTGAGCTAGATGTAACTAGTGGGGTGCCACAGGGTTTGGGTCTTGGGGCCCAATTATTTACAATCTGCATTAATGACTTAGATGCTGGGATAGCATATACACCTACCAAATTTGCAGATGACAGTATAATAGGTGAGAAAGTAAGTTGCAATGAAAAAACAACAAATGGATATGGATGGGTTAGGTGAATGAACAAAATCTGACAGATGGAGTTTAACATGAATAAATGTGAGGCTATTCATTTTGATCAGAAGAATTAAAACGTTAACTCATCTAAATGGAGTTCAAATGTTTCAGTGCAGAGGGATCTGGGGGTCCTTGTGCATGAATCACAGAAAGGACGTAAGGACAGCAGGTAATAAGGTTGGTGAATGGAATTTTGGCATTTATTACTGAAGGAATGGAATTTTGACATTTGTTACTAAAAGAGTAGGGTATAAAAGAGAGGAAGTGTTGTTGCAATTGTATAAGGTATTAGGGAGACAGCATCTGGAGTACTGCAAACAGTTCTGGTCCCTTACATGGATATATAATGCTAAGGAGAATTGACAAAGTAGATGTAGAACAGACACTTCTCCCTGTTGGGCTATATAGAACGAGAGAGTCATAGGTAAAGGGATGGCAGATTTAAAACAGAGATGAGGAGGAATTACTTTTCTCAAAGGATTATTAATCTGTGGAATTCACTACCTCAGTGCACAGGAAGCCAGGACACTGAATACATTCGAGAAGGTGATACACAGGTTTTTAATTAGTATTGAGATAAAGTGTTATGGGGAGCAGGCAGGAAAACAGAGCTGAAGTGAAGATGGGATCAGCCATCATTGTGTTATATGGCAGAGCAGGCTCAAAGGACTGAATTATCTACTCCTGCTCCTAGTTTTTATGTTCTTAAAAGTATCTAATCATCTGAATGAAAATGCTATCACAAGGACGATGAGACATTCAAGAAATAAATAAGAACAATCGAGAAGTGAACTTTACTGATCGTTGGTACTCCTAATGGCTCTTCTGCACTTAGGATCTAGCTGCAATGACCATGACCGTAGCTTTGTGAGATTTGTGACTTGCCTGCTCTCTATGACATATCCATATTGTTTTTCTCAGGGTAATTGGCTACACTCTGATTGCTCTGTTTTTCTATCAGGTTGTTTCTTCAGTTTTTAATGAATTAACTTAATTACACTGAAATTCATTTTTAAATGTCACATATTGGTGTCCATCTTTGATGAAAACCAGAGCATAATTAAATCATCACAAAGAGATTATTACTTTTATATGCACAATTTTCTCTCTGCTATATCTATCATATATTTTTCATCATTTGATGGAATGCAAGTCCAATGTCCCTTACTATAGCATCAGTATCAGACAAATTTAAAAACTAACACTAAAAATTCTCCAGTATTGAAAAATTACTCTCTATGTTTTTCTGTCAAATACTTGTGCATTTAAAACTATTCTACTTTGATGAAAGGCTCACTTGCTTATTAAAATAAAACTTAGTGTGACTGTCTGTGGCTCCTTTCAGCAAGACAGTGACTTGAGCTGAAACACCATTTCCACCCAAGTTTGGTGCCAGATGTCATCTTGGTAAAGGAGCCGAGTCTTGCGCTGGAACAGCTGTCAGAGCATCACTGACAGGCTGGTTGCCACTCAAATTGACCGCTAGTTTTCATTAACGAGGCTGTATGGTATTTTGGTAGACAGCCAGAAACCCAACACATTCCCCCTAACCACAAACAGCTGGCTGAGTGAAAACAATTCATTACCAAGGAATTGGAATATGACTTAAAGGCATATCGCGTTTTACAGTCCAATTATTTCACGTTGGAAGATTTTTAAGACATTTACACCAAGAAGTGTAGCACAGTCATTCTATACAATCCGCAGGCTTGGACTAATGATCCAAAGACAGGAGTTTAAACTCCCCCATCACTGCAAAATGGATTTAAATTAAATATACATCTGGAATAAAATATTCTAATTTCAGTAAATGGTGACCAGATCTTCCTAAAAATACATAGTTAACTGAAAGCCTTTCGAGAAGGAAATCTGTAATTCTTACCCGGCCTGGCCTATGCATGGCTCCAGAGCCAAACAATATAGGTGACACTCAAATCTCTTCTAGCAAGCTACTCAGTTGACAGGACCTCACCACCATCTTCCCAAAAGTAATTAAAGATAGGGTTTTTAACAATGCTTTTGCCAGCACACAAAAATCCATGAATGAATAATGAAAAAGACTGTAGACGTTATATATTTTACTAAAATACTTTGAACTAAGAGAACAATTTTCATCTGCACCAGCATTTACAGGTTTTCTTTAAGACCCTAATGTTAGAAACAAAATAGTTGACATGGCATTGCTTTTGTGCCTGGACAAATTCAGAAAGACTGTACACCGAGTACTGTTTGGTAAGAGGGGAAGTGCCTGCAGTTGTGATTCTTTGTATGTAGCATCCACTCATACCAACACATGGAAACAAAGTAATTAGGAGTGAGAGTAGGCACTTGAACCCTTCAAGCCCACTCCTCCATCTTATCCTGGTCTCAAATCCCACTTTGCTGCCTGCTCCCCATAGCCCTTTATCCTGCTTTTCATCAGAAACATGTCTATTTCTTTCTTGAATCTGTTGATTGATTCTGCCACTCTTGGGCAGTGAGTTGCACAGATAGACAACCTTCTGACAGGAGTAGTTTCTCCTCATCTCAGTTTTAAACATCTGTAGAAACACAGAAAATACAGGAGTAGGAAATACAACAACACTCAAGAAACTTGACACCATCCAAGACAAAGCAGCCTGCTTGATTGGCACCACATCTAGAAGCATCCACTCCCTCCACCACCTATAATCACTAGCAGCAGTGTGTACTATCTACAAGATGCACTGCAGAAATTCACTAAAGATCCTCAGACAGCATCTTCCAAACCCACGGCCACTTTCATCTAGAAGGATAAGGATAGATATATAGGAACATCACCATCTTCAAATTCCCCTCCAAGCCACTCACCATCCTGACATGGAAATATACTGTCGTTCCTTCACTGTTGCTGGATCAAAATCCTGGAATTCCCTCCCTAATGACATTGTGGATCAACCCACAGCTGGAGGACTGCAGCAGTTCAAGAAGGCAGCTCACCACCACTTTCTCAAGGGCAACTAGGGACGGGCAATAAATTTCTTGCGAAGATTTGTAGCTCGGGTTGTGGATGATGTTGTTGGCTTGCTCGCTGAGCTGGCTGGTCGCAGTTCAGATGTTTCGTCACCATGCTAGGTAACATCATCAGTGTGGCCTCTGATGAAGCGATGTTGTTCTACTCCACTTGGTATTTATTCCTAGTGGTCGACCACTAGGAATCATGGTAGCACACAAACTCTACTTGGTATTTATACGATTCAGTCTGTTAAGTTGGGTTGTGTCATTTCCGGTTCTGTTCTGCATGGATTTGTGTATGGGGTCTATTCCACATGTTTGTTGATTGCATTTACGGGTTCAAAACCAGGCCTCTAGGAATTTCTGTGGGTGTCTGTGGTTGGCTTGAGCTAAGGTGGTCACGTTGTCCCATTTAAACTGATGGTCTTCATTGTCAGAGTGCACTGAGATGAGGGAAAGTTTGTCATGTCGTTTTGCTGCTAGCTGGTGTTCGTGTATCCCGATGGCTACTTTCCTTCCGGTCTGGCCAATGTAATGTTTGTTGCAGTCATTGCAAGGTATTTTGTAAACTATGCTGGTCCTGTATATCATGGGCATGGGGTCTTTGGTTCCTGTGAGTGTTTGTCATAGTGTGGTTGTGCGTTTGTGTGCTACCATGATTCCTAGTGGTCGACCACTAGGAATAAATACCAAGTGGAGTAGAACAACATCACTTCATCGGAGGCCTCACTGATGATGTTACCTAGCATAGTGATGAAACGTCTGTACGATAACCAGCCAGCTCAGCAAGCAAGCCAACAACCTCACAGGCAATAAATGCTGGCCAGCCAGTGATGCCCACCTCCTACAAGTGAACTGGAAAGCATGTGGCCCTTTAAGCCTGCTCCCCCTTTCAACATGATGATGCATGATCATCCAACTCAATACCACTTTCTCCCCATACCCTTTGATCCTTTTAGCCCTAAGAACTATACTTAACTCCTTGAAAACACTCAATGTTTTGGCTTCAACTGTTTTCCACAGGTTCACCTCTCTAAGTGAAGCAATTTCTCCTCATCTCAGTTCTTAACGGCCTACCTATATCCTTAGACTGTGACCCTAGTTCTGGACTCCCTAATCATCAGGAGCATCTACCAGTGTTTACCATGTAGAGTCCTGTTATGAGTTCCGTAGTTTTCTATGAGATCTTCCCCATTCTTCTAAACTCTCGTGAAGATAGTCCTATCCAGTCCAGTCTCTCTTTATGCATCAGTCTTGCTTTCCCAGGAATCAGTCTGGTAAACCTTAGCCAGAGCTTCCTCAGAAAAGAAAACAAAAATGGCACACAATACTCCAGGTGTGGTCTCACCTAGGAAACTTAGAATCATAGGACAGGCTTAAGTCTAGACTTTGAACAGGAAGTCGGACTTGCTGCATGGTCACCGACCATTTTATTCCTGACAAGGAATAATACAACATTGTTCTATCATGTCACATGCAAGCTCCAAAGCAGTTCATTGAAATGCTAACAGAAAATTCAGCAGATTGCACAGATGCAGCAAAACACAACCAGATAATCTTCACATTTATATTTGTCCTTTTGTGGTGCGGCCTTCAAAAACAAAATAAGATACTTTTCTGAGTGGATATTTCCTTATATTTTGTGTATCTCAAACAGTTTTCCTTGAGGTTTGCCAAGTCTCAATGCCATGCACAGAGAACTCTATTAGAAAAATTGCAACCAAAGGATTATTTATTAAATGCTCAAGTGTGCCAAATTGTAAGTCAGCAGTCAGCTGCATGTCTCTTCAGTACTAAGCAACATGAGACACCTCATCATCTTAATAAAAATCAACGTTAGATCACAACTGGCTTCCGGTTATACCAACTTTGTGCCAAAAAATTAAAGTTTTAGCCCTATTTAGAATAGACACATAAAATAACATTGATGGAACAAAGTAAAACTTTCTCCTCTCTTAAATTGCTGTTAAATGTCAAAGAGCTCCAGGCTCTTGTCTTTCCGTATATGATCTAGTAATAGTCATATCTTTCATTCCATGGCAAGTATTGGCTATTCCAAGTGATGGATGGTAGCGGATTCAGGTCATCTTGTAAATAACACCAAATACAGGGGAAGAGGAGGAGGAGAACTGGGATGGTAACCTATTACTTTGTTGCACTGCTCTGGGCTGAAGTGAGCAACCTGTTGTTCACACTACTTGTTCTCAAGCCACTTCAGCACTGACATTGCGAGTACAGATATTCTAGTCTTTAAGAAGCACATGAGAAAAAGATTTACTAGGATGCTATCTGGACTGGAAGGTCTGAGTTATAAGGAGAGGCTAGATAGGCTGGGACTCTTTTTTTCCCTGGAGCGTAGGAGACTGAGGGGTCACCTTATAGAGGTCCATAAAATCATGAGAGGTATAGATACGGTAGATATCAAACAGCTTCTCCCAGTGGTAGGGGAGTCAAACCTACAGGGTATAGGCTTAAGGCAAGACAGGAGAGATACAGAAGGGTTCAGAGGGGCAATTTTTGTACATAGAGGGTGGAATGGGCTGCCAGAGGTACAATTTTGTTATTTAAGAAATATTTGGACAGGTACATGCATGGGATGGGTATGGAGGGATATGGACCAAACACAGGCAAATGGGATAAATTTTGAAAACTTGGGGGGGGGGCATGTACAATTGGGCCAAAGGGTCTGTTTCCATGCTGTAAGCCTCTATGAGTGTGCAGCCTGATACAGGAATCAATTCAATAACTAAAAGGCAAAGACCCTCCATCAAGAACTGCCAAATTATAATCATACATTCATATCAAGTAACAAAGTTTGTAAAAAAAAATCATGATTCCTTATATTCAATTAAAAACATTTTTACATTTCATTTTTACGGCTCCCAAATGACCAGCATTAAATGTGCTGAGGAAGGCAGAGAACCTCCACATCAAGGTTTAAAGAGAAAACAAGACAGTTCCTCCTAAATCCCTAAATCACATCTTTCCTGACCCCAGTTTCCTTTCCTCAAAACCTCTGGCAATGTGATAACAATTTCACTTATTTATTAAGGATAAGAATGATTAGAAAGAATAAATATTAAGCACGTACACTTTTTCCTTGAATTCAAATTGAAAAAGATTATTAGTGATCTTTGCTCCACTCTGTCCTGAGAAAACAAACATCTTGTCCTTGCAGACAGCCACAGGAAAGTTACAGCATGAAGGAGGGATCTCTCCACTTTGCTCTATCTGAAAAACAATAGGCAATGTAGATATTTTGAGATTACAACTTACTGCACTGTTTTGAACATCCAAATTCTGCCAGGACTGTAAACTATTGCCTCTCAATCAGATCATCTTTACACTTTCCTCTCAAGCGTTTTAAAAAATCTACCCTATTTATAACCAGAAACACTACTACCTCCTTTACAATCTTGATGTGAATAACCTGTTATCTCTTATTTGCTCAGGGGCATGAGTTTTTTATGATTCTTGCATGGATGTGGGCAACACTGGCAGGTTGGCATCAGTTACCTATTCCAAAACACTGAAAGGTGATTGAAGTTAGTTATACCTTCTGAAAGTTGAAAACTTTCCAATTCGATGAAGTTAAGTTGGTCATTGGGTCAAAGTATAACTTTGTAACAACAGTCTCCCTAGGAACTATGGGGCTGGTTACCCTTTTGTTTACACAGTATTTTCAGTTCTCCATTAATTCTGATGCACAGCAGGTGGCCCTGCCAAAACACAGTAGACTGCATTTACTCAGAACACTAGGTGGAATCCAATTCTTTACAATCAGGTGATCACCTAACGAAGTCAAAAGTGGCACACAAACAGCACCTAAACAGGCACCCCGATAATTATTTAATACTGCCAATTAGATGGAATTTAGCTGTCCTAATAAGCCAGATGTCCCTGAACACGATGCAGGAAATCTGCAAATGTGAGAGATCACAATAAAGTGGTATTTATTGCACTTGGAATAAAAGTTTATAGGATAAAACAAACGCAACCATGCTGACTACAAGCTGGAAAGGAATAAATATATAGAGAAGGCTGGATGTGTTAAAGGTAATTTGTCTGGAAACATGTTGTGGATGCCAGCAAATGATCTTTTTCTACTCGGACACAATGTGATGAAACTGGTAGTAATAGTGGAATTTATCAGTGACTGATTAAGAGAATGTTGTACTTTTACCTGTTCAATTAATGTTAGCTTAGGCAGCAAAAATTAGGTACCATCCTTGTTAAATGTCAAAACAGAAGTAGACAACGCTGAAATCTAAGTCCTAACTCGAATGGTGTCAAAGGAAAAATGCACTACAGCCTTAATTTTAACATACAAAAAAATTGATAAGGTTTGATAGTGGCTATAGATCAGCTTCTGTTCTTAATTTGTTGTTTGTTATAGATGATAAGATGCCACTTTGGTAGATGTGATGTTAGAGTCACAAGCGTAATATGTTTGTCCTTTGTTTCTCCATCTCCAGTGCATCTTGATCTTAATCTAATCTGTGGAATTCATAGGAAGAATTGATAATTGCTTATAAATGTGGTAGAGGGAAATACTGTTTCTCTCTTTTCAACCCCAGTCCCACCCGAACAAAAACAAAATTGGAGCTGGAATACATTGTTTGAAGTCAGGTAATCTTAAAATGGATTTTAAAATGGTGGACTGAGAGTATGGTGGATATCGCAGCTGCTCCTGAGATTCAGGCTTATTTCTAGATTTCTCAGTTACCACATTTCAGCGGTATAAGATTTTTAATTTCATTTTTGATTAAAAGTACATGAGTAAGAAATGTTTGGAAGGATATGGGACTAAGCACAGGCAGGTGGAACTAGTTTAGTTTGAGATTATGGTCAGCATGGATTGGTTGAACCAATGGGTCTGTTTCCGTGCTGTATGACTGAGAGAGAAAAACAATTGTCCTTAATTCAGCTGAGTAGCTCAGACTTCACTTGATGTTCCCTGTCATCAAACAGCTCATCCACACTTTCAGCTAACGCATGAAAAAGGTCTCATGGCACAGGTACTCAATTGCAGCTAGTGCCCATGAGACCAAGATGCCAACAAACATTCCCTTCTCCAAGCAGAAGAGGAGGAGAGGGGGAGAAAAACATGGAAACTTATTATTAAAGAAATTTGCTTATGATATGCCTTATAAAAGCAATGATACTGAATGTAGATTCAACCTTAGCCTTGGTCTGCCCTATGGCAAAACATTATCTGTACATTTGCTTTCAAATGAATTAGCAGATCTCTGCACTCCCAAACAGAAATACTAGTTCATTCCCACTTACAAAGGCCAAGAAATGTATTTCAAAATCAAAAAGGAAAAATATATATTCAACAGGGTTCATGTACTGTACCTTTTCTTGTCAAACAAAAGTGATTTTATTTCCACTCTATTGCTACAGTTGAAATGTCTTACCTCATCCCAGCATGCCATCTCTCTGTCCTGCAGGCCAATGGTCCACATGTCATTCAGCCTGAGAGAATTAAAACAAAAGTAAATTCAATTATTGGCAGCATTGTTAACATACCTTGTTAATCCAAAATGAGCTTCAAATGTCATTGGGTCAACTGTTAAAGTGAGTAGAAAGTCGGGGTTACAACATATTAGATTGGAAAAAAGACAAATTTATTAAGTACAAACCAAAGGAAACAAACGGAGTAGTACAGCCACAAGATTGTGGAGGTACCAATATTGTTGAACAAATGCAATTGAGACATAGCCAAGAAAATGAAATCCCCAAGATGAAGGAGGAAATTACAGTAGGAAGAAGAATAAATTGAACATGGTACTTAGGAAAAATGAAATCACAAAGTAATGGCGAAATATGCCACATACAGGTTAAAAAATTGTTACGCGGTGGAAAAGAAACAGACATAACAAATTTGTTGGATCAAAAAGAAAGAATAAAGGTTATTTTTGAGTTTTGGTAGATGGGACTAGGTCAGATTGGGATATCTGGTTGGCTTGGACGAGTTGGACTGAAGGGTCTGTTTCCACGCTTTTTTCCCCCAGAATCCTTACAGTGTGGAAGCAGGCCATTCGGCCCATCCAGTCTACACCGACCCCTCTGGAGAACGTCCCACCCAGAACCACCCTATTCCAGCATTTTTCACCCTAGACAGTATGGGCAATTTAGCAAAGCCAATCCACCTAACCTGCACATCTTTGGACATTGGGAGGAAACCCATGCAGACACGGGGAGAATGTGCAAACTCCGGTTCATACTTAATAAATTTGTCTTTTTTCCATTCTAATATTTTGTAACCCTTTATGACTCTATCACAGGAACATGGTATTTAGGGATTTAGGAGAAGGCCTTTCAGTCTGCCCCAGCATTCAGGAAGATCGTGGCTGATTTGATTGTGGTCTCAGCTCCACTTTTCTCTCTGCCGCCATACCACCCTGGACTCAAATCCTGCATTCAGTATCTGGAGTCCCATTTCTCACAAAAATTATGTACTTACTGAACACAACTGTAATATTATCTGTATGAAAACAAAGAAATAATCAGCAGGTCAGTCTGCATTTGTGGAGAGGAGGTATGGTTAACAAGTGATAACTAGTCAAAGACCTAAACATTAACCTGATCCTCTTTTCTTCACAGCCACCCACTCAGTAATTCCAACAATTTCTGTTTCTATTGGTTTTGTTTAGTATTTGTAGTCATTTTGCTTTCTGTATTATCATCAAATTTGCTGGTAATTACATTAATCAAAAGATCTATTATAATTGACATAGTGTTAGTTTGTGCAGATGTAGTTTATAGAGGTTATGCTAAAGTTCCACACTATACTGGCCAGATTATACTATGAGTACTGTGTTTAGTGCTGGATAACAAACACACAGGCATAAAGAAGACGGATTCTAAACGCAAGGAAAATGAGTCCAGAAAAAATAGTTGAACTGAAAAGGTGGTTATGGAGGCAGAGGGAACATCAGGGTGTATTAAGTATTGCAAAATAAAGCCAAAAAACTATCTTAAAGAGAGACAAGACAGCTGGTGTAGAGTACTAAAATCAATAAAAGGTAATGTAAAAATTAAATATTATTAAGAACTCCTTTACTTGGGCAAATGAAAGTTTGGAACAGTCTTCTGGTTACAGAAGAGGAAGATGAAATGATTCAAGGTATTCAGAAAAAGGTTAGATACCAAGCAGACTGCTTACGAGAAGGACTAGTTCTTTTTTTAAATCCTCGACTGCTTTTATGTTTATGTACAAAGAACACCAAGGGTTTTGAGCTTTCAAATCCTGAAGACCAGGAAGTCTGACGAACATCCCAGACTTTCCCCAATCTTCATTGATAATATAAGGAGCGTCACGTGTGGGTGGGTGATGGCAAATCATGAAGCAATGACACTGAAATTTCACTCCTTTATGCTCAGTGTGTCACGAAGTCTCAAGAAAATCAAAAATCATTAATCTACTCAGGACAACAGCTTTTCAAAAAAAAAAAAGACTAGCTAAGCAACAATTACTGCATCAATTATGTGCTAGCCTTGCTCTACCACCGTCTATTTCACCACACGTTCTATGTTTTAGATTCTCACAGCTAGGGAGGAATGAAAGGAATTACTGCATTCAGACCATGACATTTCATAAAGGTGTGGTTCATGAAGCTGCAAAGATCAGCATATTTGCAGATTCCACATTCTGCTTAACATATAGGTTAGGGAAGAGAAACTACAGGATCAAGGAATAGATGAGACATGAATTTGCTCCATTTAGATCACTCTTGTAGAAAATGTATTCCAGAGCCACTTGATTGAATAACTACACAGTTTTGCTCACTGTCTCATAGAATATCTAGATACTGATCACTCAGTCAGAAATACTCCCAAAATGATTTCCTGTTTTCTGTTGCTGGTGGGCTGCAATCAAGTGCTTGGGGTGGATTTCTTAAAAATTTAATTCACTCAATTCATATCTACATTTTAAAAGGTACCCCCTCATTCATCCCCTTTCAAAGCATATGTTTTTCAAAATAGTTCAGGGTAATATCTACAGATTGTGCACTAGATTTATCAGCTACCTTGAACTGGAGTGGAAGCAAATTATCCTTAATCCTGAGGGACTGCCTAAGAAACAATAGGGGACATCCTTCTTTCTTTTGGGTGGTAGAGATTGCAGGTTTTGAAGACACTGTTGAAAGTGTATGCGATCTACAAGGTGCACAGCAGCAACTCACCAAGGTTTCTTCGACAGTGTCTTTAACACTCGCAATTCCAAAATAAAAAGGGATGTCTCTTTTTCTTATTTTTTAGGTGGTATAAGGCTTTGGGGAGTCAGGAAGCAAGATATCTGCAGCAGAATTCCCAACCTCTGAACTGCGCTTGTAGGCATAGGGTTGATTTAGTGGCCCCCGTTAAATTTCTGGTCAATCATGATTCCCAGGAGAGATGGTTAGATTCTCACTTGGTACAGATGGTCATTGCCCAGCACTTATTACTTTCCACTTATTAGCTCACTGCTGATCATGTCCAGGCCTTTGTGTATCTGAATACCAACCCCAAGCAAATTCTTGGCAGATACATTAAATATATTTTACCAGATTTTCAAATTCTTCTTAAGTCTGCAACAAACAGTCAGTCTGGAAACTGAAGGTAATTTGACTGTTAAATAAAGTCTGGTTTTAGTGCATACAGTAACAAGCTCACCAGGCTGTGTTAAGGCCCTCACCCCATAGTCTTACGACATGGAGTAAATAAATCTTTAATCAATTTTGACTTGATGCCTGCAAAAATCCAGCACTATTGATTTTTCTGAATGTCAATGTTTTAATTTAAACAAACAAGATAGCATTTTAAAAAACCGATCTTACATTACCTGGCATTACCATCGTAGCCCGCAAATATCCAGAGTTTGTCGCTATAAACCGTGGCTCCGTGTGCTGACCTAGCAACTGGCAACCTACGTTAAAAAGACATTTTACAGCTGAAGAATTTTCAGGTAGTAAATTAGTAAAGAATAGACTATTAGCCATGCAGCATTAGTTAAACAGAATGAAATATTCATCCAGCAATGAATTCATATCAGTGGGTTACAATGGGTCCAGTTAAAGTTGAAATTAAGAAATAGAAAGATTCAATAAAACATCTTTAAATCATCTATACAACGCATTTACTGTTTTTAGAACTGTTTCATGAAAGTTTCCTATTAAATTTGCTGAGTCATATGATGTCATTAAGTTATTAGGGTGATAAAATTGTTATTCAGCCGTCTGCACATTTACAGATGACTGACTTGATCAATTAAAGGTGATGTGCAGTTGACTTCAAACATAATTGTTACAGCATAGGAAGGAGCTTGATTAGATCACATCACCACAAAACATCATCCACCACCCATAACTCATACCTTGATGCTAAATAGTCTTCTTCAGAATGACCAGCAAACAAAGATTACCTGCCCTCTACTTTCCATTCTGTCCACTGGCCTGTGGCAAACTTGTACTCAAACAGATCATTCTTGTTCTGCAGGTTGGAGTTGGAATAAATGTCTCCAGTGTAGCCACCTATACAGGAAGAGGTAAGTCAAAATCACTGCTGAATTGCAAGGCAATTCCATCTACAGCAGAATATTTCTTCCTCTTTTAGACTGCAGTACTTTTTGAAATAGGCACAGAATGCAATTATTCTTGTCTTAGTAATAGCATTCTCATTTCAGTGTCAAGACCAACTCCAAAGCCTTGAACACAAGTATTAGTTAATGCTTCAGAGTAGTAGAGAGTACTGCATTGTCAGAGATGCAGCCTTCAAATGAAAGATTAAATTGAGGCTCAATGCCCCTGTTTTATGGGTGCAAAAGATCCAAGGCACTATTTGAAGAAAAGCAGGTGAACTCTCCAAGTCAATATTTACCCTTACAGTGTTTCCCTATATTTCAGTTTCAAAGTACTTGACTAATACATCCTAAAACGCACTTCAAAATGGAAGCGCTTGAACTATACAAATCCTTGTCTCCTTTACAATGAGTTATTCAAATAAAACAACAGAAACATAATTTAAGATACTTTCTTGGCTGAAGGTGTAGATAAGTCCACAAAGTGTCACAATGTTTAGTACTGATTTGATAGAAATTTCAGTGTAGCAAGTGTCCTAGTGAGTAATTCTGCTCTCAATACTAATGAATCAGCTCACTGCCTCACACTAAGGCTGCAATGTTTACTCAAGAACACAAAAAGACTAATCAGGAATCACTACTTCAGCAAGTTAGGATAGTGAAGGCAAGATTCAGACTGCCCTCCATTGTCCCACTGATATTTGTTTTTGTACAGAGCAAAGCACAGCAGCTTTTGATTCATTTGTTAAAATTAGGTCTTGAGCCACCTCCTGTTAATATAACTGTTCTACAAAAGATCTACTGCTTTCAATTCACTGCTGTCTGTATTGTAGATCCATCAGCAATCCAGTCCTGGTAACATTAAAAAAAGAGTCAGGCTGTGGTCTGCAACACCATATTCCTGGAATCCTACTGGTTGTACAATTGTACAGAAAATTTAAATCAGGATCAGAATGCGAAGGTCTTATTTGGAGGCATTCTCACAAATGGGAAAGTGTACATAAAGAAACAGTAATCTGTGGGCAAGGATGGGTCATCGACTAAGAGAGCTAGTATTTCAATGACACTAATACACATATGCCACAATTGTTTTCCACTGGTTGATGAGCACTTCCATTTCCTAAAGCTGGCTAATGCATGAAGGTGAAAGGGAAGAGGGACATGTGAAGCAAAGGGCCGCAGATTCGTGTGATTATATTTGCTAATTTTAGAACAATGACTTGGCATATTTAACCTTCATATTCTAAACTTCATGTTGAAATAAGTTATGCAAAAACAAAATTCCACAAATCCCTGGAACTCTGCCTTTGGAATCACAGAATCCCTATTATCATGACTTACCAAACACAAACATGCTGCTTCCATACACGACAGCTGAGTGATGGTACCTAGGTGCAGGTGGAGTTCCTGTTGTGAAAGCCCTGATAAAAAAAGTCAGAAATAAGTTACGGTGGCACAGTGGTTAGCACTGCTGCCTCACAGCAGTAGGCACACGGGTTCAATTCCACCCTTGGGCGACTGTCTGTGTGGAGTTTGCACATTCTCCCTGTGTCTGCGTGGGTTTCCTCCCACAGTCCAAAGATGTGCAGGGTAGGTGGATTGGCCATGCTAAGTTGCCCATAGTGCCCAGGCATGTTTAGGTTAGGTGGATTAGACATGGAAAAATGCAGGGTTAGGGAAATGGGTCTAGGTGGGATGCTCTTCAGAGGGGCAGTGTGGACTTGTTGGGCCGAATGGCCAGTTTCCACACTGTAGGGACTCTGTAAAAAAAAAAAATCAACATGGTTTTCAATTTTACTGAAAGCTCTTCTTTAAACTAAAATCAGCAAGAATAAAGTTAAACGTAGAGGAGCCAAGCTCTGAAATACACACAGCGGAATAAAAGTTGAAAATTACTAATAAGTGGTCAAGTAATGGTTAGCACTCTGGACTTTGAATCCAGCAGCCTGAGTTCATATCTCAGTGGGACATCAACATATTGGGGTGGCAAAGTGGCTAGCAGTGCTGCCTTGCAGTGCCGGGAACCCGGGTTCGATTCCACCCTCAAGTAACTGTCAATGTGGTGTTTGCACATTCTCCTCTGTGAATGTGTGGGCTTCCTCCAGGTGCTCTGATTTCCTCCCACAGTCCAAAGATGTGCAGGTTGAGCGGGTTGGCCATGCTAAATTGCCCATCGTGCCCAGGGATGTGTAGGTTAGGTGGATTAGACATGAAGAATGCAGGGCTACAGGATAGGATTGGCGGGGGCTGGGTGGGATGATCTTCAAACGGTCAGTGTAGACTTGATGGGCTGAATGGCCTGCTTCCACACTGTAGGGATTCTGTGATATTCTATGAACACTTTTAACATTAACTTGAATTCAGTCAACCATCAAAAACTAGTATTCAAATTATCTGTAGTTAATGGGCTAACATCAAAGTGTCTATTCATAGTGCTAATTAAGGTTGACTAAACCTCAGTGATAGTATGACTTCTTTCCCCCCAGAGGAACAGGAATAGGTTATTTGGCCATCAAGCCTACCTGGCCATTCAGTACGATCAAGGCTGAACAAACACCCCAACGGCTTTTTGCCCGTCCTTCCACATAAACCTGCACTCCACTGGAAATCAGAAATCTATCACTCAATATTCCTTGAGCATACCCAAATGTTTAGCCTCCACAGCCCTCTGTGGTAATCAATTCGAGGATTCACAACCCTCTGAGTAAAACAAAGTTCTCTTCATCTCGGACCTAAGCGGCACCCCCCTTATTTTTAATTATTGCCCTGATTCTGGACTCCCCAGCCAGGGGAAATATTTATCTATTATTTGGATGTTTTGCAAATTGCAATGAGATCACTTTTCAATCTTCAAATCTTTAAAGAATAAAGGCCCAGTTTGCCAAATGTCTCATTTAAGGGCAGTCCCGCCATCCTGGGAACCAGTCTGGTGAAGCTTCAAATTAAAGCAAAATACTGCAGATACTCAAATTCTGAAATAAAAACAGAAAATGCTGCAGAAATTCAACAAGACTAGCAGCAACTCCGAGTCCAGAATGACTCTTCCTTGGAACTCTGGACTTCCACCAGACCTGCTCAGTTTCTCCAGCACCTTGTGTTTTTATTTCAGGGTGAACCTTTGTTACATCATGTGAAAAATGAAGGAATGTTATGTTCCTTAAATACACGAGTGTACACAGATCTCAGTTTGCAAAAATATCCTAACGCAGAGATGATCTTGACGTTGGTAAAGATCTTACTTCAAGTGATGATACACCAACTTTCATTAGCATTCTCCAGACATCAAAAGAGAGCTCGAGGAAATAGTGAATCTTTAACACTGGAGCAGAGGAGGCAGTGACAGTGGCAGTCAGAAATCGATTCAACATCTGGATATTTTATGCTGATTGGATATATTAGACCTCCTCACCATGTTAACCGTACCCTTACCCTTCTCCATTCATAGACATTATGATAATGGAGCCCCTGGGTATCTTATGTTTAAGATCTGGAACTCCATTCCAAAATACATCAATTCTACCAAATTTTTTGGACATGTCTCTAATTACTCTCTTCCTGTCAGAACCCATTTGCACTTGCCTATCAGAATTCCATTTCCTCACACCTTGGGCTTTTCTTTTCCACTCAGGACGGTCTATAAATGGATAACGTTGCTGTACAAACCTGCACCAAGAGCAGTCCTTCACGTCAAATCTTAACAGGTCATTTAACATATTCTTCCTGCAGAGAAAGAAAAGAAAATTGAAAGATTGTTTAACATTTGCTTTCCTCAGGTTCATCCTTGCTCCACAATACCAATTTAAGCAATGTCTTTTGTGCATTTTTGTGCTACAACTGTACAAAAATTAGTGTTGAATTGTGCCAGGAGCTGTATATCATCCACAAGTGATAAATAGCATCCTTGCCAAACTATTTAATTGACAAGTTGGCTTTTTTTATTGGCAATTGCTTGATTTCCAATGCTTATCACAAAGTATTTCAAAATGATACAAAAAGGTCTGGTCTTTTGCATCCAGTAATATTCCATTATGCTTTGAGTGTGCATGAATTTCATTCATGTTCTTGTCTTCTATTTATATGGAAAAGTCAATTTTTTTATATTTAATCTTGATGGAATGGGATTATTCTATTTTATTCAGCAGCTAAGCACACTAACATATAACACCTAATTTGTGCCAATGAAACAGTCTTCAGCACTAAATGTTTCTAAAAGCTAATTTAGTACTGGGTTTGAAGGCAAGCCTAACTGATAGGATGAAATCTGCTCTCACTGCATTGAGTTTAGGATACACCAAATTTAGTAATTTTGAGTATATGCAAACCCATAGCAGAAATTAAAATTATACAAATCTCTTTCAGACAGTACAAAAAAAAGCACTTAGTGCAATGTTGAAGGAGCTTACTATCCAATTACCTATACAGTTACCTCATGGAAGTGAAAGGAAATTTTATTTCCCATGTAGCCTATACAATAACTGGTCCGCAAGTGTCTGACGATAACCCATCAGTTAAAGTTCATAACACAGTTGAACAAAATCACGGAACTTAGCATATATTTACTCAAGTTTCACGACTTTTACTCTAATAAAGTACTAGCTCCTGCAATAACATGCTTTAACCACACTTACTAACATTCAAGTCATCTATTTTGAAAATGGTTTCAAAAGTCTCAGCTAATCTTTCCCAGCTGTGTAAATTACAGTAACAGGTATAGTACATGTCACTGCACCATATGAAACACTGCTCACTGGATCTATAATCATAACACGTTATATTGAGTGGACTTAACACACTTAACAATGACTGTTTTTGGTGGTAAAATTGTCTGCTATTTACATGGTGCATTTTTTAAAATTATTGTCTCATTTTTCTTAATAGGATGAGTTCAGCACATACCCATTGTCCCCTCCGAACACATAGATTGCATCCTTATAGGCCACAACAGTATGCTTGCTTCGTCTGAAGAGAAAGAGAAAACAGGAACAGCATTAGTGAATAACATAACTAAATAATTAATTAAAACTCACTAAGGCTGGCAGCACAGGTTATGTGCTTCAGCATGTGGGATCCCTAGATACCAGAGTGATTCGGGGCAAACACATCTGCAGTTAGTGTTTGAAAATGAAACAGCCTCAGCTCAGAGTTTACATGATGGAGGCTGAACAACAGACACTGCAATGAATTGTAGATGGGGGAGAGGTTACCTAGACTCTTTGTACCAGAAAGCAGTGGCACAATTTAGGATAGGGTCCCCTGATTCAGTGGTCAGGGACCACTAAGGGTGTGACTGCAAGTGAGGAAGGAAGACTCCCAGGGCAGGTGCATGAAAGTTCAGGAGCCTCTGCCTCTGTATTTATCCAAAAGGTTTAAGGTTCTCTCAGTTTGTTAGGAATGAGAGCAGGGGTTGAAAGGTGAATGTATAAAGTGACCATGGCATTTCATATCAGACGACATTCGAGTGGGAGAGAGGATCAACAAGGAGCACAGTGCCTGAGAGGGGACAGTACAGTGAAGAAGACAGACAGCGGGCTCTGCAGCAAAGGGCAGGAGTTCTGACAGCTACCTGCCCAGTGCTAGACGTTGAGACATCTACTCAGGGTTAGAGGGAACCTTTTAGTGAGAAAGGACTTATCTAGTTGTCATGACCCATGTAAACAGAGAGAACTAGGAACAAAGTTCTGCATAGAAAGTACGAGGAACTAAATATTAAATTACGAAGTCAAACCGCCAAAGGTTATAAAATCTGGATTATTACCTGTGCCACGTGCAAATTGGCATAGGGTACATAAAGGATGAACAGTGAAAAAGGACTTAAGTGGAAGAAGTGGGTTCTGGCCAAAACGTCAGCCTTTCTGCTCCTATGATGCTGCTTGGCCTGCTGTGTTCATCCAGCTCTGCACTTTGTTGTCTCTGGTTCACAAGGGTCTGGCACCACTCAGAAGTGGAGGCTGTACCCTTGGGACATTCAACACCTAGACAATGCCGGGACCAGTGTTCTTGTGAAACCCAGAAAAGCAGTGTGCTTTAAACTAAGCAATGAGGGCGAGGGATCAAATATAGAAACATGTGGTTTAACAAAGAGTACAAAGTAAGAGAGGAAGATTTTAAATGGGAAATGAGGGTCAGAAATCGGCAGAATGGGACAGCCAGAAAAAAAACCTAAAAATGCAACAACAACCAATAACAGATGTCTCAACAAAGAAAAAAGCTGGAGGCTCTACATCTGATTGCATTTTCTCACACATTAAACAAAATGCTAGTGCAATAAAAACAAAGTGCTGGAGAAACTCAGCAAATCTGGCAGCATCCATGAAGACAGAAAAAGAGTTAATGTTTCTAATCCGACATGACACCTCTTCACTCTGAAGACTGATCAATAATGGCATATTTCAGAATATTAAGAAAAATTCTAAGGGGAGGACCCACCATCTGTGGCCTTTGACAAAGGTCCCTCATGGCCATCAGATACAAAAGGTGAAGTCAAATGAGATTCATGGTGAAGGTGGATAATAATAGCAGGTTTAAGAGGCATCTTGACAGATACACGAATAGTTAGGGAATAAAGGGTTAAAGACCGTGTAGAGGTGAGAGGTTTTACTTTAGAAAGGCATCATGTGTCGATGCAGTCTTGATGGGCTGAAGGACCTGTTCCTGTGCTGTACTCTTCTTTGTTCTTTTTGGTTAACAAAACAAGTTAGGGAAAGTATTATATTTAAGGCAAAAGCTGCACAATGATAAGTGACTGGTTAGAATATTAAAAAAAAGCTAAAAATGGCAAGAACAACAGGGAGCCAAAATAAAAAGAGTAAGCCAGCTAGAAATGTAAAAATGGATAGCAAGCATTTCAACAGCTACTTACAAAGAAAAGAGTAAATAAAATGGGGGTGGGGGGAGAAGTCCTCTAGAGAGCAGAATGAGAAGTTAGAAGTGGATATAATAAGGAAATTGCAACTGTAATGCTTCTGCCTCCACTATAGAGGATACAAAAATTCCAGGAATAGCTGTAAATCTGCAAGATGAAAGGGAGAAAAGTAGTGGGTAAAATTACAATAACTAGGGAAGTGGTACTAAGCTAACTAATGCAGTTACAGGCTGATAAATCTCTGATTCCAAATGGAATTCATTCTAGGGCCTTACAAGAGGTGGCTAGTGACGTATTTGATGAGATGGTGCTAATTTTCCAAAATCCCAAGATCAGAAAAGATGCCATCAGACTGGAAAGCAGCAAATGCAACCCCTACATTCAAGAAGAGAGGGAGACAAGACTGTAAAGTACAGGCCAGTTAACTTGACATCTGTTGTGGGGAAGGTGCTAGAATTGATTACTGAAAGAAGTCATAGCCGGGCACTTAGAAAAACTCAAGGTAATTGAGAAGTGTCAGCATGGACGTGAGAAAGGGAAATCATATTTTACCAATCATAATTGCACAAGACAGGAACAGGTCCTTCCGTCCACCAAGATTGTGTCGACACATAATTAATAAACTAAATTTTAAAAATTAATAATTTGAAGGAGTAACAAGCACTGTTGACAAAGGGGAGCCCATAGATGTTCTGTATTTGGATTTCATGACATAGGGGTAACATACCAATGTGGACAGAAAATTAGTTGGTGGGCTGAAAACAGGGAGTATGCATCCTTGTCAGACTAGCAAAATAACAGTCATGCAGAGGTCTGCGCTGGGATTGTCAAAGTATCCTTGAATTTCTTTCTTAGCAGCAAAAGTGACTTATTTAAATGCATGCCCCATTTGAATTTATCAAACGACCCGCACAGTTAACTTAAAAAATGCCAACTTGTGCATGGCAAATGCACAGACTGAGAGGCAAGGCCACATGTCTTCAAATGAGCATTGCTAACGGTGACATTATATCTGGCCCTGAAAAAGTGAGAGCAGGAGATCATGTTTGAGGCGGTGGTGGTGAGCTGCCTTCTTGAAACAAAAAAATGGAATGCAGTGCATGTACACCCATGAGGGAGGAGATTCCAAGATTTTAAGCCAGAGATATTGAAGGAACAGTGATATATTTCCAAGTCAGGATGGTGAGTGACTTGGAAGGGAACTTGCAGGTGATGATGTTCTTATGAATCTGCTGCCCTTATCCTTCTAATTGTGCAACTGGAAGGAGCCTTGGTGAATTTTTGCAGTACATCTTATAGCTGGTGCACTGAATATTGGTGATGACAAGCTTCTTGAATGTTGTTGGAACAGTATTCATCCAGGCAAGCATGGTGCATTTTATTACACTCCAGACTTATGGTTTGGGGAGGAGGCAGGTGGTGAGTTACTCACTGCAAGATTCCTAACTCTGACTTGCTCTTTTATCCACTTAAATAGATACTCCAGTTCAGTATCTCATCAATGGTATTTCCCAGGACATTGACAGTGGGGGATTCAGTGATGGTAATACCACTAAAGGGGCTATGGTTAGATTCTCTCTTGTAGGAGCTGCTTATGTAGCATGAACGCTTTTGCCAGTTGTCAACCAGAACCTGTATATAGCCCAGGTCTTGCTGCATTTGAACATGAACTAGTTCAGTGGTGACACAGTGATAATGGCATTGAACTGGCACTCCTGAATCCCAGGCCAAAGCTGAGGTCATTGGCTTGAATCCCACCACGGCAGATTGAGAGATTTGAATTCAATGAAAATATCTGAGAAGTCATGAATGGCTGAATATTGTTCGCTGATGGTGGCACATCCCCACTTCTGACCTTATGATGGAGGGAAGGTCATTGATGAAGCAGATGAAAATGGTATGGCCTAGGCCTCAACCCTATGGAATTCCTGCATTGATCTCCTGGAGCTGAGATAACTAGCCTCCAACCACTTTACTATGCAGACTCCATCAGTGGACAGCTTTCCCCGATTCCTATCGACTCTAGTTTGCTAGCATTCCTTGCTGCCATAGTAAAACAGGGTCTTGACATCAAGGGCAGTCGCTCTCATCTCTCCTTTAGCTCAGCTCTCTTGTCTGTAATGAGACTGCGAGCTGAGTGGCTCTGACAGAACTCGAATTGAGTGAAGATGAACAGGTTGTTGCAAGTCCATCCATCACTTTTACTGATGAAGAGTAGACTGCTGGGGCAGTAATTAGCCAGGTTGGAGTTGTCATGCTTTTTTTGTGTACAGGACATAGCTGGGCAATTTTCCATAATATTGGGTAGATGCCAGCTGCTGCAGATGTTAAAGAAGGCAGCTCACCACCGCCTTCTCCAGGGAAATGTGACATGGGCAATAAAGGTTTGGCCCAGCCAAATCCCACCTGGGGGCTTCTGTGGAGTTATTGATAAATCATTTGAACCAGAAGGTCTTTAATTGGGATTAATGATGGATTTGAAGGTGGTTATGGGGGTTATTCATTGTTTGCGATGGACCAGAGGAGCTTATAGGGAGAGTGTGCTTTATGTGGGGCTAGTGAGGGGTGATTTCTGGAAAGGGATAAATGAAGGGGGTGGATAATCGGAAGAAGTTAGTGATTGAGTGGGTCGAAGCCGGTCGTAGTCCCTCTCCCCCCTGCAGCAGGCTCTCTTTACCTGGCCCCCACAAACTCATCGCAGGGCGGCAGCCTCCTCCAGCGGTGCACCGTCTCGAAAGGTCCGAAATTTAGCGTCAAATACTCGACACTATCCGAGCAACTGTGGTCGAAATCCACGCTCGGGGCCACTTTCGACTTCCCCTCCATGGCCCCAGAGAAAACAGCATCCAGCTCGGACGCCGCCACTTCCGATGCAACGGCCCCGCCTCAAAGAGACATCAAGGCTGAAAGGAGGAAAACAACCGCCGCCACCAGCATCGGCCTGGGCCTTCGTTCGCGGGGCACGCTGGGAGATGCAGTTCTCAATGGCGCTTACTCCATGAAACAATGGGAAAGGGTCACGGGAAAGGACTACAACTCCCCGAATACCCCGCAAAGACAGCGGCCCCACGCGTGTAGTAGAAGAACTACAACTCCCATAGGGCACCGTGACGTCACCCTGCCTCCTACCAGAAATGTATCGGTGGTGACATATGGAAATGAATGAATGAATGAATGAAAGAAACAAACCGACTGTGGGACACAGGAAATCTGAACCAAAACAGAAATTGCTGGAGAACCATGTTCTGAAGAAGAGTCACTGGAACCGAATTGGTTAAGTCTGTTTTCTCTGCACAGATGGGGCCAGACCAGCTGAGTTTTTGCTGCAATTTGTTTTCTTTTATTCATTCGTGGGACATGGGCGTCACTGGCCAGCCAGTATTTATTGCCAATCTCTAGTTGCCCTTCAGAAGGTGGTGGTGAGCTGCTTTCTTGAACTGCTGCTGTCCATGTGCTAAGAGCCACAACACCCTAAAGGAAGGAATTCCAGGATTTTGAGCCGCTGACAGTGAAAGAACAGCGATATATTTCCGAATCAGGATGATGAATGCTTGGAGGGGAACTTTCAGCTGGTGTCGTTCTCATGTATCTACTGCCTTTGGTTCTAGATGGAAGTGACCATGGGTATGGAAGGCGCTGTCTGAGGATCTTTGATGAATTTGTGCAGTGCATCTTGTAGATAGCACACATCTGCTACTGAGAGTTAGTGATGGAGGGATTGGATGCTTGTGGATGTGGTGCCAGTCATGTGACTGCTCTGTCCTGGATAGTCTCAAGCTTCTTGATTGTTGCTGGAGCTGCACCCATCCAGGAAAGTGGGGAATACTCCATCACACTCCTGACTTGTGCCTTGTAGTTGGCGAATGGGCTTGTGTAGCCAGAGGGTGAGTTATTTGCTGTAAGATTCCTAGCCTCTGACCAGTTCTTGTGGCCACTGTATTTAAATGGTGAGTCCAGTTGAGTTTCTAGCAAATTGTAACTCCCAGCGTATTGATAGTGAGGGATTCACTGATGGTAACCCCATTGAATGTCAAGTGACAGTGGTCAGATTGTATCTTATTGGAAATGGTCATTGTTGGCATTTGTGTGGCCTGAATGTTACTTGCCAATTGTCAGCCCAAGCCTGGATATTGTCCATGTTACATTTAAACATGGACTGTTACAGTATCTGAGGAGTTGTGAATGGTGCTGAACACTTGCAATCATCGGTGAACGTCCCCACTTCTGACCTTATGATGGATGACGGTCATTGATGAAGCAGCTGAAAATGATTGGGCCTAAGATACTACCTCGAGGAACTCCTGCAGAGATGTCCTTAGCTGAGATGACTGACCTCCAACAATCACAATCTTCCTCTGTGTGAGGTATGGCTCCAACCAACAGAGAGTTTGCCCCCTGACACCTATTGGTTCCAGTTTTGCAAGGATTCTTTAACGCCACACTCAATCAAATGTGGCCTTGATGTCAAGGGCAATCACACTCTCCTCACCTCTGTAATTTGGCTCCTTTGTCCATGTTTGAACCAAGGCTGTAATGTGGTCAGGAGCTGAGTGGCCCTGGGTGTCACTGAGCAGGTTATTGTTGAGCAGATACTGCTTGATCGCACTGTTGATGACACCTTCCATAATTTTACTGATGAATAAAAGTAGACTATTGCGGTGGTATTTGTCTGGGTTGGATTTGCCCTGCTTTTTGTATACAGGTCATAATTGGGCAATTTTCCACATTGTTGGGTAGATGCCAGTGTTGTAGCTGTACTGGAAGAGCTAGGCTAGGAGAGCAGCAAGTTTTGGAGCACAAATCTTTTGTTCTATTGCTGGAACATTGTTAAGGCCCGTAGCCTTCACAGTATTCAGTGTCTCCAACCTGCATTTTCTTGGGGATAAATGTAGGTGGGTGCCATTTTCCCCTCCAAGAGTAGAGTTTAACACTGTTTCTTGCCTGAATCAATTTTTTTTCCCTCTGGTATAAAAACTTTCACTTCTATAAGAACTACTATAAAAACTTCAGCCAAAATTTCTCTACAATGGCTTTCTTAATACCAAACGTTGGATCTTCACATGTAGACCCCCTCCCAGAGTTCTGCTGTTCACTGTCCAAGAGCATGTTTCACTTTCAAATTTGCCGCATGTGCCCAGCTTAGCTGGAGATGGAGGGACAAATGGAGAACAGGGCTGGTAGGGGTTAGAAAGGAGGGAATGGTGAAGTGGTGGATGGGGAGACTGGAGGGAACAGGGTGCATTATCGGGAGGAAGGACTGGAGTTAGGAGGTACTGGAAAAAGTGGGGACCTGGAGAGAGGGGTCTACAGGGAGGAGTAGACTGGAAAGAGAAGTAGATAGGAGAGAGGAAGCTGTTTGAGAGAAGTAAGAAAGAAGGGTGTATAGGAGTGATCATCATCATCATCATCGTCATTGTTAGTCTCTCGCAGACAAGGATGACTCTGTTCCACTGTCAGGGTGAATCCATAGGTGGCTGTGCAGTCCGATGCAGCTTCCAAAGACTCTGGCACAGTTGGGGCAGAAGGTGGTCGTGGGAAGGAGTGAGTGTGGTATTCGTGTGGCAGCATGCTCCTTTATGCTGTTTTCACCTGGCCATCGCTTTTTCCAGACGGCAAGTCTCAAGATGCTCGACACTTTCCTGGATGCTCCTTCTCCACTTTGGATGATCTTGGGTCCGTGATTCCCAGGTGTCTGTTGGAATATCGCACTTTGCCAGGTGAGGCCTTGAGGGAATCCCTGAAGCATTTCTTCCAGCCTCCTGGGGCTCACCTGCTGTTTCGGAGCTAGGAGTACAGCACCTGCTTGGGGAGTCTTGTCTCAGTCATAGAGACGACATGCAACACCCATTGCAGCTGGTCAAGGGTAGTCAGTGCCTCGATGCTGGGGATGTGGGCCTGGTCAAGGACGCTGGTGTTCGTGTGTCTTTTTTCCCAGCGAATTTGCAGGATCTTGCACAGGCAGTAATGGTGGTACTGCTCCAGTGCCTTGAGGTGTCTGGTGTAGACAGACCATGTCTCAAATCAACATAGGAGGGTAGGCGCCACTACAGCTCTGGAAACCATGAGCTTGGTATTGGATCTGATGTTGTTGTCCTCAAACACCCTTTTCCTCAGCCAGCAGAAGGCTGCGCTAGCACATTAGGAATAAAGAGATGGTGGCTACTGAAAACTGAGGGGATTACAGTGAGAGAGGCACATCTTCACAGGAGTTACCCTCAAGAATTTTCAGTGTTTCGGTTAGATAATGTTTCATTTTTCAAAACTCCATGGAATATAGGGCAAATCAATAGGATGGATATCATGATGCCTAGGGCTGGTACCCACAGGATTTGTGGCCTTCTGCATGAACACTGGGAGTGGCGGCCAATTGAACATACATTGGCTCAGATTTCATTGCAGGTGAAATATGAGAAGGAAGAGCTAGATAGGAGATAAGGAAGTTTGGACACTTCATTCCTTGCCCTGCCCCTCAGTCAGAACCACACACGTTGCATCCCGTCCCAATAACCAAGGCCTCTTATGGTGTCCATAATCCAGAGGATGTCAACCTTGGAACCTTGCTCATTGCGAGCCGATGATTGAGGAGTCTGCCTCTAGCCCAGGTGAAACAACAAGCATGGTACTATTCACAAGTAATAGGAAAGGAAGAAGGAGGACTTTTTAATTGCACAAGATGGACACTAATTTATGAGCTTATTTCAAGAACACTTCTGACACATGAGCATGTTTTTACCAATTTACCTCTCCCCCGCCTCCCCCAACCTGTCCAGAAGAATGCATTTTCCCTTGTATATTAAAGGTCTGTTCAATGTTTTGTATGCTATCCTGAGAGGGGAGTTGCAATATCAGTTTAATATGTCATGCAGCACGGCATTCCCTCAGAACAACACTGGAGTGGCAGGCTGAATTTGCTAAAGAAGTGGAACTTGAAACCCTAACTTTCTGACTCTGAGACAAGTATAAAAATTACTTTAATTACTGTAAATTATTTCACTTCAATAAATCGCTTTAAGATACATCAAGGCACATTTACAAAATGCAAAAGCAACTTGAGGATAGATGTGAGAAAGCATTTGTTTACACAGAAGTGTGAATGATTTCTGGAACTGGTTTTATTTCTAAAGTAGGAATTTATAAAACGCCACATTGACTGACTGTCTATAAATTGTGTGCTTTTTGAACAAGATAGAATATACCTGCACAAAGAAATTCACCCCATAGATTTACATGTATGTGTGCATGTGTGTGAGAGAAAGTGAGAGGGTGGGGGGTGGTAGGGGGGAGTGGAGGAGAGAGAGAGAGAGAGACGGAGGGGGAAAGAAAGAGAGAGAGATAAAACCAGTCAGACTCCAAACCAAATAGGAAGACAGTGTAGGGATTCCCTGTGGCTGTTCCCCTCAGTAATAAGTATACTGCTTTGGAAACTGTTGGTGGGGATGACCTACCGGGGAAAGCCATAGCAGCCAGGTCTCTGGCACTGTGCCTGGCTGTGTGGCTCAGAAGGGAAGCAGGGAGAATAGGAGAGCGATAGTGGTAGGAGATTCAATGGTTAGGGGAACAGACAGGAGATTCTGTGGTCGCAAATGAGACTCCCGGATGGTATGTTGCCTCCTGGGTGCCAGGGTCAGGGATGTCTCGGATCGAGTCTACAGGATTCTTAAATGGGAGGGTGAGCAGCCAGACGTCATGGTACACATCAGTACCAATGACATAACTAGGACCTGAAAAGTGAATTTAGGGAGTTAGGCTAGAAGCTAAAAGGCAGGACAGGCAGAGTAGTAATCTCAGGATTACTACCAGTGCCACGGGCTAGTGAGGCTAGGAAGAGAAAGCTGAACATGTGGCTACAAAACTGGGAAAGGAGGGAGGGCTTCAGATATGTAGATCATTGGATTACC